ATTTGCTTTACTTAAAAATTGTCATTCACCTTGAGTGGTCTGCAGTAATCTTTTGAAAAATACCCACAAAGTCTCATATTTTCCCCTCCAAATCTGTCAGACTTGGGATTGAGAAAAAGAAACTATGAAACATACATGTTGTATTCACAACTAGACTTAGACAGCAATAAAAGAAAAATTTCAGTTTATAAAGTAATTTATAAATAATTTAAGTAGCAAGTTATCCTCATAATTTGATGTATACAACTTTAACTGAAAGACTTCTCCAAAACTTATTTTAATGTGTAGTGAAGTTCACAAGTTCTTTAGAACCAAAAACATTTAAAAATTATAAAGATAATAACAAAAACACAGTTTTAGGACTTAAGTTGAGCAGAATCTTCTGGTGTTGAGACTAGGTGTTGGAGATTGACTTTTTTATAATCACACAGTTGAATTATCATGTCCTGCCTCCACACTCACACTCTAGCAATGCCAAAGGTTGTCAAAGAGTAAAGTGGTGCTGTTACTTGTTAAAGAAATTCTTGACAACATTCTGGTTTTGAATCCAAAGAGTTAGGAAATTAATGGAACTTTTTTTCACAACAGCTGACAGCCTTCCTTCAGCTTTCCACCATCTAGTGAGAATCATCTCCTTGAAGCACTGTTTAAGTATACACTTTGAGACATAATACCTCCAAGGAGTTAAAGGAAGCCTGTGGGACACAGATTCCAAGTGGCTATCGATCGAATGATTGGTAAATAAAAGCCATTTTCTAGACGGAGGTCAGTTTCAACAAAGCAAGCAGCAGCAGAACCTGCATGGAACACAGCGCCACCTAGTGGGAGGATAGTCACACAAGAAGGCTACTCAGGGATTTGCTTTCCAATTCTGTATTTTGGCTCAGACGGTAAACAATCTGCCTGCAAGGCAGGAGACCCCAGTTCGATCGCTGGGTCCGGAAGATCCCCTGGAGAAGGAAAAGGCAACCCACTCCAGTATTTTTGTCTGGGAAATCCCGTGGACAGAGGAGCCTGCCGGGCTACAGTCTATGGGGTCATAAAAAGCTGGTCACGTCTTAGTGACTAAATAACAACAAATCCTCACAATATTCCTGCAATGTAGGAGGAAGGAAGACTTTCAAGGAGGAAGCAAGACTTAGGGGGCTAAGTAAATTGCCCAGGTTTGCATGGCTACTAGGGGCAGAGCTTCAGTTTTCACACAGTCAGGCTGGCCCCCGTGCTGGAGGGCTCCCAGGAGTGTGACGGAGGGCGTGTGTGAGGGTGTGCACCCAGGCTCTCCTGGGAATCACTGCCCCCTCCAATCCCATACTGGAGCAGGAGATGTCATTCCCTCACTGCACTACAGAGCAGCCCCTGCTCAAGCGGCCCAAAGCAGAGGCAAGCTCAGAGCTACCCTGTTCCCTGCAAGTTCGACTGTGCTGTGATTGCTTTGTCCACTAATTCAAGCAACTCAACCAAGTAGCCAAACCAAATTCTTACCAGGCACTGCAGCGGAGACCCAAGGGTTGCCATGCCCCTCAAGTCTCCCCGGCTCCCCTAGCTCCACTTGCTTGCCTCTGATCAGGCTCAGCACATTCTTCCCTCTGGGTCCCACCCTGTGACCTGACTCAAAGGCCCTCAGTGCCACTCCCGATGTCGGCCTGCAGCGCAGAGGTTCTGCTCCTTTAAGACCCAGTCTAAATCTTCGCTCTCCATCTCTATGAAGTTCTAATCCTGTCAGAGCCCATCCGTTTTTCTTTTTTATTTTCTGATGATGTATTTTTTGTTTGCCTTGAATTGTGATCATTTATGTACATTTCTTACATCAGCTGTTATTTGGAAACTCTGAAGACAGAGAATATAACACTTGGGATTTGAACAACAAGGGTGTTCAATAAATCTGAATTGAATTGAAGGCCTGGGGGCCTAAACAGCAGCCGGAGAAACCTGCAGCTTCACCATATGCTTAACGTTCTCACTTAAACTAAACGTCTAACTAGGAAATATGTCGGGAAAGACAGCTGGGAGTCTCAAGGCAAATCCACAGTGCATTGCTAAACATAATAGATTTATTTTTCATAAAAACCTTGTAAATAATTTAATTAGTGTGATTTGCCATAATTAACTCAGCTTCCAAGAGCTGAATGAATTATAGATTTGCAAAGCCCTTGGTATCAGGGAAGTTGCAAACAGTTCTGAATTGACTTTAAACTTCTATTTTGACTACAATTACCTTTTTGGCCCTCAGGCTAAAGCCAGGTAGGGTTAAACAGAAGAAAGCAAAAAAAAAAAAAAAGAAAGAAAAGCCATTCAGAATATTTTTGACCATATTTATGGAGGATTTATTTTGCATAAAAGTGAATTGGTAATAAAAAAAATTCAGAGAACATAACTATTATAACCTCTTCAGTGAGTACATAGCAATGTATAAATTTAACAGTCGACATTCATTTAAAAATAAACTTAAGATCCTTATTCTTCAATCCTAGCTAAGAAGATATTTTTCATCTAAGATTTTTTCCTAATTAAGCTTTGAAATTATCAAAGAAAACATGCTGTTACTATGGAATCAATGTACTCAATATAATTGGTAAAATAAACACGACCCACATTTTTATATGTTGTATAACATCTACTATTAACACTGTTACTTGATTCTTAATCTTTACATATAAAATACATCATATATAAATTGTGTTATCATAGATTTACACTAAGGAAAACAAAAATTATATTTCTCAGAAAGGAAATAAGAGGAATTAAAATTCATAAAGTTTCTAGATGACAATGATTCAGTTGTCCACAAGAATGAGGGAAGACCATAGGATAGAAAATTCTAACCAGGCAAACAAATTTGACTGAGAAAGGAAAGGGGAAGGCATTGAATGAAATTACTGGGTTTCACAGCAATCTCTTTAAGGAGCTCAGATATTAAAAGGGCCTGTATAAAAGATGGCAAAGGTCTCTATAACATGGATAAATATAAAGACTAGTGCTAAGAATGTTAAAAGCTAAAGCCTCAAATTAACTGAGATGGCATGAATGAAGGAATGATTGGACAAGTACTAAAACTACAGAATTTTTAAACAGTTTAACAGCTTATTAAAGAGAAAGAAGTAGAAGCAGGAAAGAATAGTATGTTCACAGTTTTGTTGTTGTTTAGTCGCTCAGTTGTGTCTGATTCTTTGCAACCCCATGGACTGTAGTAGCCTGGCAGGCTCCTGTGTCCATGGGATTTCCCAGGCAAGAATACTGGAGTGGGTTGCCATCTCCTTCTCCAGGGGGATCTTCACAACCCAGCAATCGAACCCACATCTCCTGCATTGACAGGCAGATTCTTTACCACTGAACCTATGTTCACAAATTAGGTAAATGGCGAATATTAAAATGACAGGTATCCAGGCCGAGGCAAGTTATTTCCTGTAGACTGAAGAACAGTCAGTTCTGATCAAAGAACTACTTTTGGTAAAGTCTGAACAAAACAGGGAATGAAAGAGGCATCAGGAAGCTTTGGAAGGGAAAGTGCCATGATTTTTTTAAACTGATCAAAAATATAAGCAGATAGTTTGTGAGCAGTTAGGTCTAGATTATCCAGTATGGACTGTGAATAACTTTTATCATTTGAACTTTATTTTACTATTCATATATCCATTTCTTCACTCAATATTTTAATAGCAGTTTCTATGTGCAAATTATATGTGCTTGGCATATGTATAACTGAATCACTGCTGAACATCAGAAATTCCTGACACATATAATGAATCAGCATAAATTCAGATGAGATTAGATAATCACCTATAGGGAAAAAAAAGAAGTGGCTCAAGGATTAAATCTGCCAAACAATAAATGACAGGGATAAACATGACATATGGATTAGCAGTAATAGAGGTCAGAGCAGGATGCCCCCAAATATGCCACTTTGACATGTTGATTATTTTGAATTAGAGTTACTTAAGAAACAGCTGGTGTGAGGAGGATCCTCTGACTCTCTTTTGCTCCCTTGAAAGCAGGAAATAAATCTTCCCTGTGAAAGGAACCTTCTCTGTACCAGAAGGCAAAGAGACATCCTTATCTCCAGAGATGCGAAGTTCAGGGCCAAGAAGGCTGTATAAACAAAATGTGTTACTTCTTTATCAATTTACTACCTCAAGTCCAAACTTCTTTGTCTTTTCAATTCATCACAAATTTATTGTTTCTTCGTCCAAAAGGTGTAAAAGTTGCCTGCTTTGGTCACTTATTTGAGTCTATGTTTTTATGAACTCCTGTACATACGAAATTATTTCTTTCCCCTGTTAATCTGCCTTGTGTCCATTTAATTATTAGACCAGCCAAAATAACCAAGAGGAGTAAGGGAAAAATTTCCCATCCTTGATGGCAGAGAATATTGAAAAAATATATTTACTGTAGAAAAAGAAATGTAGGCATTAGGATGACAGAATGGAGTGTTGATGTTATATGCCCTGACAACACAGATATGAGATAATTATTTGGTACATAAATTTGGGACAGAAAGAAAAAGAAGGTAAGTTGCAGAGATTGCTTCCTCTGGTGTAGCTGGGAGTAAAATGATAAAAAGTAAATCTGACATACCAAATGTCAGAGTATGAAAATATTTAACATGTGAAGGTGAGCGCTAAGCAAAGGAATTTTTTTTTTTTTTTTTGCTAAAATTGAATAGGAGAGGAAATGCAGAGCAGAGGAGACAAAAAAGGAAACTCATAATTTTATCAATTTTTCCTAGTAGAAAACTGACAGGAAAATTATCTAAAAACTTGTCTAGGAAAATTGGAAACCAAGAGAGACACATAATAATATTATAAATATAATCATGAAACAAAAACTAAAGTCTTCCTAAATATTGGAAGAACAACATAAAAAATAGAAACGGATGCATAGGAAAAGATAATTTTAAAAACTACAAAAACCAAAACAAACATATCTGTCATTCATTAAATGAAATGAGCTTACCATTGATTAAGAAAAAGGATCAATTTGACATATTTATGGTGGATTCTTACCTTTCTCTCCATCTTTTTGTTTATGTGTCTTAAATAGAGTCCAAGGAAGCAGGAAGGAAATAGAATCGGATCTAAATCCAATCAAGTCTTCAAGACTGAAACAGAAAAATAAAGCAAAAGTAAACTAAAATAGGGGCTTCCCTGGTGGCTCAATGATTAAGAATCTGCCTACAGTGCAGGAAACTCAGGTTCAAATCCTGGGTCAGAAAGATTCCCAGGAGAAGGGAACAGCTACCCACTCCAGTATTCTTGCCTGGAGAATTCCCTGGTCAGGGGGGCCAGGGTAGGCTACAGTCTATGGGGGTGCAAAGAGGCAGACACGACTGAGTGACTAACACTTTCAAAGTAAACTAAAAAAGTCCTATGGGGGAAAATGAGACTGTAAGAACTTAAACACATTATATATAGCCTGTTCCTGGATAATAAATGAATTCACTCTTCAAGAAAAAATATTGGTACAAGGTCTTCTAAACAAAACACAGTAGGTGAAGGAATCAACTGTCTAGCTGTCTGAATGAATTGCTAGAGTAAATAGAGATTGCTAAAATATAAATAAATAAAAATTAAATAGTGCAGCCTCAGGCCAAAGATGTGTTTGTGAAGAATAGAGAATAGCTTATGCCCAAGCTCCGGAACACTTCTTCAGAGCCTGGATGAATATTTTCCTTCAGCGATCTTTAAGTCTGAAATGCTGAAAGTAAAAACAAAATACTGATGGTAAAACAACAATGGTTCTCAAGTCCAAGTTTCTTCCATCACTTATAATTGCTGAAGACTCCCTCAAAGCTTCAACAATCTATCCATTGATTTAGGTATATTTGTTAGGCACACCTACTTTCTGACTAGCTCTGTAGAAAAATGTAATGGGAAACTGCAAGTAGTAAAAATCATGCTTTCTGCTCTCAAAATTAGGAAAGAGAAAGCAGAAATCAAACTATTTTTAAGCTGTGTGGTAGTAACTTTTTTAAGAGCACAAGGGAAATCAAACAAGTGAGAAACTGGCAAGTTAAATAAAGTTAGTGGTGTACTGGTAATTTTTTTTGTTTTATTGATGTATAATTGACAAACCTGTATATATTTAAAGTGTATAGTGTGATGATTTGATGAAAGTATATATTGTAAAATGACAGCCATAAGCTAGTTAACGTACCCATCACTGATCACTTATATAGCTATCTTTTTATTTTTGGGGTGAGAAGAGCCTATAGAAATGATAAAATGCATGAAAAGATGTTCAACATCAATAAACCATTAGGGAAATGCAAATTACAGCCACAATGAGATATAATTATACATCTATCAGAATGACAAAAAAAAAAAACACAACAAAACCAAAAAACAGTAACAACACCAAACACTGGCAAAAATGTAGAAAACTGGATCATTCATGCATGGTTGGGAGAAATATAGAATAATACAGCCACTCTGGAAAATAGTTTGATAGCTTCTTAAAAACTTAAATATATAGCTATCATTGGACCCAGCAATTGCACTTCTGAACGTTTACACTGGAACCATGAAAACTTATGCTGACTCAAATATCTGGATACAAATGTTCATAGCAGCTTTGTTTGTAATGGCCCCAAACTGGAAACAACCTGGATATCCTTTGACAAGGCAAATGGTTAAACAAATATTGTATATCCACAGTGTGGAATACTACTCAGCAATAAAAAGGAAAGAATTATTGATACACTAACACTCTGGATGAATCTTCAGAGGAATATTCTGAGTGAAAAAAGTGAATTCCAAAAGGCTACATATTGTATGATTTCATTTACAGAACATTCTCCAAATGGAAGAGCAGATTAATGGTTTCCAGGAGCTAAAGGGTGCGACGGAGGTGGGGTGGGGGTGGGAGATGGGTGTCAGTGAATGAGAGAGAATTAGGAGTAGCTACTAAAAAGGCAACCTGAGAGATCCTTACAACGATGTAAGTTCCATATCTTAACTGTATAAATGTCAACAGCCTGTATAAATGTTAACATCCTTTCCACAATTAAAAAAAAAATACTGAATAACATTCAAATTATTCACTTTCTCTGTATGGGAGCAATGAACTGTTCCCTAATAATCTGACCAACCACAGCACATAGTCACCTGCTGTGCTATTGGAGGCTCTCAAATATTTCCATTTTAATGAGAAATTCAAAAGAATTTTTATCACTTAAAAATATAAATTGAAACAAATATCATCATAACATATATTGACTGGAATGCCCTGGAACACAGTCTGGAACAGCTGCTGCTGCTGAGTCGCCTCAGTCGTGTCCGACTCTGTGCGACCCCATGGGCGGCACTCACCAGGCTCCGCCGTCCCTGGGATCCTCCAGGCAAGAACACTGGAGTGGGTGGTCATTTCCTTCTCCAATGCATGAAAGTGAAAAGGGAAAGTGAAGTCGCTCAGTCGTGTCTGACTCTTAGCGACCCCATGGACTGCAGCCTACCAGGCTCCTCCGTCCACAGGATTTTCCAGGCAAGAGCACTGGAGTGGGGTGCCATTGCCTTCTCCGCTGGAACAGCTAGGGATTCTTCAGCTACCTGCCAGGAAATGAAGCCCGAGTCTAACCGTCATGAGCTTTATAGATGGAGATAACTCGTCTGGATCCAGAGAAGTGAAAGGACCTTCCTAAATCATAGAGCTGGGCTTCCCTGGCGCCTCGGTGGTAAATAATCTGCCTGCAACGTGGGAGACTTGGGTCCGATCCCTGGGTCAGGGAGATGGCCTGGAGAAGGGCACAGGAGCCCACTCCAGTATTCTTGCCTGGAGGATCCCATGGACAGAGGAGCCTGGCAGGTTACAGTCCACGGGGTCGCAGAGTCAGACACAACTCAAGTGACTGAACACGCACACAAGTCACAGAGCTGGTAAACAGTGGAGCCAATATTCCTGCTTAGAGTTCCTTTCAGTTCATAATTATTTTGAGTGAATGGGTGGGGTATATGTTTCAGAAGGAATATATAAATTTCAGTGGGAGTAGGGAATGGGCAGGGCTGAAGAAGTAAGACGTATAGCTTACTTGATTCTTCCAAATTAAGATAGGGAAGGAGAAATTGCTTGGTGACTCTCTTGTATTGAGTCCCTTGCAGAATTAATAGCTGGTTAACTAAGGACTCTAGGGTCAATCTGCTCAGACCATAATTTGTCGAGGTGTATCAGTTCAAGCCTACAGGTAAAGATGAGCAGGCATGCCTACTGCAGTAAATGAGTACATGGAAAGTCAGTTTCTTAATATATTCAGCTTTCCTTTTCCATGCCTAGAATATCCCCCAAATAAAGGTTGGTCAAGAAGGCATCACGTGACTGTGGACATGTGTTCTGTACCAGCAGCAGTCCTGAGAGGTCTCTGTGGAAGGGGGACAGTCTGGAGGCTGAGGATGGAGATTATGCAAATAATTATTTTCATTCCCTTTTGAAAATAATCACATTTGTTAATTCTATTTATGAATCAATCTATGTGTTTACTGTATGTCTAGTGACTAGAACAAAGCTCCTTGACGACTGAGACCTGACCATCTGGTCCACTGACAGATCCTAGGACCCATGGTAGCTTCTGATACAAAGTAAGCAATCAACATACACTTGTTTAATGAATGATTATTTTAGTTTTTCTGTTGCTTGTCCAGTTTTTAAAAGCAGTCATATGCTTCCTCTCACATTTCTGAAGTTCTTTCTCTGCTTTAGCTAGTGCCACCCTTCCCCCATTTTATCCTGGTTATTTTATTTCACTTAATTTGTCCTTTTACTTTGGAAGAACTAGTTAAAAAATACAATGTTGATTATCTTTTCACCATTTTCAACTTTCTTCTTATAACCTCATTTTATCTTCCTATTTCTAAATTCTGTTAAGAAATTTATTTTTAAAATAATTAGTTTTGTTACCATTTTTAGTATATTCTTATTACCTTTTATATTAATAAATACTTATTTTAGTCTCATAAAATAGTTTATCTCCTTAAACAAAATTCCTGTTTTTCATCACTTCTTTACTTTCTTTCCTGCTTTTAAATAAGAAGTGACAGACTTTAGTACACAGATATGCCCCCTCAGACATGTTTATTATTCCTTCCTCCCATAGGTTTTCTCTATTTTTCAATAGAGATGACTATGTTTAATCTCAGTTGTTAAGCTTAAATCAAATCTGGGTGGGAGCGTTGGGTCAGTCATTCAGTCATGTCTGACTCTTTGCAACCCCATGGACTGTAGCCTGCCAGGCCCCTCTGTCCATGGAATTCTCTAGGCAAGAATACTGGAGTGGGTGGCCATTCCCTGCTCCAGGGGATCTTCCCAATGCAGGGACTGAATCTGGATCTCCTGCATTGCAGGCCGACTCTTCACTGTCTGAGCCACCAGCGGTGCCCAGCTGGGAGTGTTGGTTAGTCCCATTCTGACACATCAGATAACTCAAACATCTGGAAGCCAATAGCCAGTCAGATAAAACTGGGTAATGGCTTTTATTTGACTTACAGCCCAATTTAGAATGAGGTTCTAAAACCCACCATACCAGAAACACCTAATTATCTGGTTACGAACACTTTTTAGAAGTATCCATAGCACAGATAGAGAAGAAGACAGGAAGAAATCCAAATTGTTATGGATGGAAGCATTAGAGATGGATAATATCCAAACTATTAGAATTTTAATATGTCAGTCTGTTCTAAGCACTAACTTGAAAAAAATGAACTTTTTTTTGTTCCCAAGTTAGAAGAGGAAAGAATACTCCCTAAATGGCGATTATTTTCACCCCTGCTCCTGACACGAAAACTAAGGTGAGCGTGACCAAGACAGGACTGTCATCTCTAGATTTTGAAGAATGAACTCCTCCTGCTCTGAAACTTGAGCTGTTTTCTTCTTTTTCAGTCATTCGGTCTCATGCCTGTCTCAGGGAAGAGGTCCCTGAGCCATACCTTCTAAGAACACACCCTGCCTAGCTTTGGTAAGACCCGGCCCTTCACACACGAGTTCTCAGTCATTGAGCGGTAGTGTGCGTGCATGCGTGCTAAGTTGCTTCAGTTCTGTCTTTGTGACCCCATGGACTATAACCCGCTGGGCTCCTCTGTCTGTGGGATTCTCCAGGCAGGAATACTGGAGTGGGCTGCTATGCCCTCCTCCAGGGGATCTTCCCTACCCAGGGATCCAACCTGTATCTCTTATATCTCCTCCATGAGCAGGCAGGTTCTCTACCACTACCGCCACCTGGGAAGCCCAAGAAGCAGTGTAGGAGGTTCTAACTCTCCCAGTTAATTAATTTTAGAGAAATAAGACCTTTGGACAAGACTGAGCGACTTCACTTTCACTTTATTGGCTAGGCTAGAGGTCCTGCAGAGCGAATTGTGTCACAGATTTTAGCTCTAAGTCACCTGGCCTGTTAACTTTATTTGCCAAATAACTCCCCAACATCTATCTCCAATATTTACCCCTCTAGGAACTCTCACCTGAGAATATAGTGCATTTGATGCTCTTGCTACTCACAGTAAGATATTCCCAAATCCCCTTCTGATATCAAAGATGCCAAGGCTGACTTCCCTCTGTAGCTAAATCTACTGCCACCGGCCATGGGACACCACCATCAAACCCCTCCAGACACAGCCTGGCACCTCTGCAAAGGGATTAGTTCCGAAAACCTACACATCTTCCCACCACATAGAAGTGATTAACTGTGCAGTACCTTAACCAGGATCAGCTAGGTCTGTTTAGCTGTGGTGTCTTTAGCAAAGGTGATACAGCAGAAGCCCGAACTCAAAGTTACAACCAATGAAAACACATGCATTTTTTATAATCACATGATTCTACATTCTAGAACACACCCTACAATGGTGAAAATTCTTAGAATCTGGAAGGACAGGGAACAAAGACTGTGACCTCATAACCTTCTATTCATCTAAGTTCCAGTCACTCTTTCAGCATTATCTGGTTTGAAAAAGGACATTTCCTCTTAGCCCTAATGCCGTTTTCTGAATCTAATCTAGTATGTCCAGATATAAATGTCATCTTCCTAAGAGCAAATGTGTGCATCAGATGGTTTGTTCCAAATCAACAGTTTCTTTACATTTACATATGTGTGTATATCCATGCACATGTGTCTGTGTATCTTTAAAATGCCATTATTCATGCATATTTATTACTAAATATTTCCTCTGTACAGTACAGTACAGTACAGTACAGTTCCTGAACTGTAACTGTGGATGATTTAAGTACTAAAAGATATGCAAACCCTATGATTGAGAGCTATTGGTGAATCTGAATTGTGTCCCCTCAAAATTCTGTTGGAAGTCCTAACCCCTACAATATCATAATGGGACCTTATATGGAAATAGGGTCATTAAAGATGTAATTAGTTAAGCTGAGGTCATGGGAGTGGGCCTCCCAAAAGTTGGAAATTATGACGGAAGTTATGGTAAAGCCTAATTCTTGGGTGCTTCCCTGGTGGCTCAGTGGTAAAGAAACCACCCACAATGCAGGAGATGCAAGTTTGTTCCTTGGGTCTGGAAGATCCCCTGGAGAAGGAAATGGCAACCCACTCCAGTATCCTTGCCTGGGAAATCTCATGGACAGAGGAGCCTGGTGGGCTACAGTCCATGGGGATGCAAAAGAGTTGGATACAATTTAGCAATTAAACAACAAAATAACAAATTCTTGGGTACTCTGAACTGGAAAGATTATATCCCCATAGCTCAGGTGTCTAGGAGCAGCTATCCTTTAAGAGAAGAGAGGAGCATATGATTAAACTAATCTATTACTCAGTTTGTAGGGTTGCTGTAACAAAATACCACAAACTGAGTGACTTAAACAGGATAAAAATTATTTTCTCAGCCATCTGGAGGCTCCTTGGAAGGAAAGTTATGACCAACCCAGACAGCATATTAAAAAGCAGAGACATTACTTTGCCAACAAAGGTCTGTCTAGTCAAGGCTATGATTTTTCCAGTAGTCATGTATGGATGTGAGAGTNTACATTAAAAAAAAAAAAAAGATAACTAGACAGCATACTAGAGAATGACAAGGGCTACAAAGAAAACTGCAGCAGAGAAGAGGGTAGAGTGTCTTTGTGATGATTTGCAATTTTTAAATCTCAAAGCCAGGGCGGGACACACTGGGAAGGTAACAGTGTGCAAATATTTGAAAGAGGTGAGAGAACGAACCAGGCACCCGTCTGGTGGAAGAGTTTTCCAAGAAAAGGGTTAGAAGAGCAGCTATCTGGGTAGGGAGAGGGGAATAGGAGGTTAGGTCCGAGGGGAGGGGGCAGAGGGAGCAACAGTGCTGGACAATGTAGGCAGATGCAAGGACTTTGGTTTCTACACTTTGAGTGAAAAATCACAGAAGAGCAAAATACATTTAAAAGGACTAGTCTAGCTACTGGGTTGAGAATAACAGCAAAATAAAAAATAACACTGTCACCTGTGTGTTGCTATGTTCCATGCATTGAGCCAGGCCCTTTACATATTTACAAACTCATTTGATATACTACAGAGAGAGGCAAGAACCGAAGCAGGAAGACTTGTTCTGGTTATTAGTTCCTTTCTTACTAATTGAAGGAAATTCCTTATATATTCTAGGCACCACTTATCTTTTGGTGATTATATGTGGTTGCAAATATCTTCTCCCATTCTGTGGGCTGTTTTATTACTGATGCTTAAGCTATATGTAGTCTCAATTTTTTGTGCTCTTCTCTCATTGACTTTTTAATCAAATGCCCTTTTTAACATCTGTAGCCCCACAATCTTTAGTCATTTCCTCTTACCTGCTACCACCGCACTTGGCACAAACCTCTTTTGGAACACTTACCCCATTACTTATTAACGCATGTCTTGGTCTTTGTTCTGTGAATTCCGGGATGTGAGATCCTGTCGCACAAATTCTGTCCCAGAAACTAACACACAATGGGTGTTCAATAGATCTTTGTAAAGGTACAGGAACTGAGACGAGAGCCATCTAAGAGAACTCTCCCTGATTGTGCTTCATAGACTTGTTCACTCCTTGCTCAGGCATCAATTTTCCTCGTAGGAGTGGTTGGTGCAGCGCCTTTGCCCCCGGGCAGAGCCTCAGCGGGCGGGGCCAAGCTGTTTCCAAGGTGACGGAGCGGCGGCCTCGGCGGTGGATTGAGCGGGTCTGAGAGAGGTTCCCAGAGGGCTGCGCGTCCCGGCTTCTCGGCGCTGTCATGGCGGGCTTGCTGAAGAAGGTGAGACGCGCGGAGGTCACTGCTGGAGTTTAGACTGCGGGAATGGAGTCAGTCCGCGGGTGGTGGCCTGAACTGGTGCGGGCTAGCGATACTTCTTGGGGACTTATTTTGCTGTGCCCCTAGGGGTGACCAGTTTAGCGGTCTCGATTGGAAAGGCAGGAAAAAAAACTCCGAACCGGAGGCTCTGAGATACCGGTAGCTGGTTTTAGGCCAGTTTTAGTCAAGACAGTGATGGTTTTGCTTTTCTTAGCGTGGGGACCCTCGCAATTGTAGTTAACAGCATGAATCTTGTTTGGTTTTTGAACAGACCACTGGCCTGGTGGGATTGGCTATTTGTGAAACTCCACATGAGGTATGTACCTCTTTCTTTCCTTCCTGAGTTTCCAAGGAAGCCTAGAGCCCCGCGACCTTGTTTTTTGAGTGGTTAACGAAATACGCATTTATCCTGCTCCGGCTTGCAAGTCGGCGTGAACTCTTAAGACAATAGCGGTATTTAGTTATTTCGTTGATTTGGTGCCACTTTTTATTGTTTTTGTTGCCGTGATCTCTTTCTCAAATCATTTTTCTTGTTGACTTTTTCCGTGGCATTCTCGTATTGTCACTTGTACTTTTGTGAATGTTCTCCCGAATCTGAATCACCGTTTTTCCACCTTTCTCCCCTGCCTCACTTTTCTTAAGTGCCTTAGATTCTATACACTTTCGATTACCTAAGATAGTACTCTTAGGAGTTACACCCTTTTGTCATCAGTTTTCCCTTCTAATGGGACTTTCCCGCTAATATTGTCATGCTTCCATAAAAAAGCAAAACAAAAAACCCCAAAAAGCCTCCCTTGATCTTTTTCCTCCCTCCATAATCACGCCATTTCTCTCCTCTTTGTTTTCTTTTCCTGCTGTCATTACTACAGTTTAGTCCCTTGTTCTTGTTTAGAGAATTGCAACAACTTTGTTACTGGTCTTCTCTGTTGCTCCTTTATCATTTTACTTTAACTCACTACTGCCAGATTAATTTTTCTGAGGCACACATCTAACCAGAATTTCCATAAATCTTTTAATTGCCCACAATATAAAGCCCAAATGCTTTCTTTGACATGCAGAACCACATACAACCGGATTCGCATTTTCTCTAACCTTATCTCCTAAGCATTTCCTATGTATACTAAACTCAAGCCTCATGCTGTCCAATGAAAATATAATGCGAGTCATAAATGTAAACTATGTTTGTATTGATAGTTCAAAATTTTCTAGGAATTACTTTTTTAATAAAGAATTAATATATTTTTAACCAACATATCAAAATATTACCATTTCAGTATTTGTGTGTGTGTGTGTGTGTGTGTGTGTGTGTGTGTGTTATTTGCTCAGTCGTGTTCAACTCTTTGCCAGGCCCGGGACTGTAGCTTGTCAGGCTCCTCTGTCCATGGGATTCTCCAGGCCAGAATACTGGAGTAGGTAGTCATGTCCTTCTCCAGGGGATCTTCCCCACCCAGGGATCATACGTAGGTCTCCAGAATTGCAGGCAGATTCTTTAGTGTCTCAGCCACCATAGAAGCCCATTTCAATATATAATCAATATAAAAATTAATATTTTATAGTCTCTTTTCATGCTAAATGTTCAAAATTTAGTGTGTAGTTACACTTAACAGCACTTGTTAGTTCAGAATTGTCACATTTCAAGGGCTCATTGGCCAAATTTAGTTAGTGGCTGCTATTTTGGACAACACAGTTGTAGGGGAGTAGAACCATGTACTAATTATTTAATGCTCCCTATATTTTCTGCCATTCAGTCTTCTGTATGTATGCTGTGTGTAAGGTTGCCTTTTCTAACATCTTCAAGTGTCTCAGTCGTGCCATCCCTCCAGTCTGTCTCACATGCTGCCTTTGCTAGGAAACCTCTGATACCTGCTGATGGACTCTCTTTCCCTAACAGACTAATAATGTTATTATTTATAGAAACTTAATATGTGCCAGGTGCTGTTCTAAGTTATACAGTATCCTATTAACACCCCCATTTTAGAACCTAAGTCTCTTCCAAGACCTTGTATTGTCATCCCTTAAATTAAAAAATGAGGCTAAACCACCCCCCTTCACACACAATTCAGATTATATGTTATCTGACAAGCTCTACATTAGTATAGTAAAATACCCTCTATTATGGAACATCATAGTCAAGTATAAAGTCTAAATATGCAGAGTACTTTTTAATAAAAATGATTCTTAGAGGCCCTCAAGGTTGGTATATAATACCGTATATATACAGTATATATGGTAAATATATATGAATGAAATTAGGTATTGCACCTATGGTGTTATACAATTAAACTAAAACAAATCTCAAATACAAAGAAATAATAAGGAAAAATTCTTCATTGCTTGGTATGTTTATTATTATACTTAATATTAATGTACTGTTGTGAATTCGGATCTGCTATAATAACTTTTCCTGTGGCTCTGATAAAGAATCCGCCTGCCAATGCGGGAGACCAGGATTTGATCCCTGGGTGGGGAAGATCCCCTGGAGGAGTAAATGGCAACCCACCCCAGTATTCTTACTTGGGAAATCCCATGGACACAGCAGCCTGTGGGCTACAATCCAAACGATCACAAGGAGTTGGACACACCTGAGTGACTGAGCGGCAGCAGCAAAAGGGGGTAGATAAGCATAAACAAGAAGAAATTACAGCAAGGAATAATTAAATGCTTTCTTTAAAAACAGATGTGAATTTTTTTTTAATATCATCTGTGAAACTTTAAAATCTTTGGTGATATTTTAAACTGGAAATATGTATGTTGTCTTTTCAGAGGCTAAAAATATTGTATACAAAAATTCTTGATGTTCTTGGACACATCCCTAAAAATGCAGCGTATAGAAAGTATACAGAACAGATTACAAATGAGAAGCTGAGTATGGTTAAAGCGGTAAGTAGCTAACTTGGTTTGTTTTTCTAGGATTTTTGGTGTGCAGTGTAACATTTAACAAAGCAAATTCACTTGATTACTTTTTGCATATTCTGCACACTTTCCTCTCTCATTTCTATTCTCCTTCCTTTCATGTGTTTCTTCCATTGTTTCTCCCTTTCATTCATCAGACTCCTGTCTACCTGAATACTTTTTAAATCACAGGCACTACTAAACACAGGATTGAAAGAATAAGATCAAGTCCCTTCCTTACATTAACATTATAACTTTCTTTTACCTCCGTTACCTGTCCAGCCCTTTATTGATCTTTTACCTCTTATCTATTGGTACATCAATCTTTATTTCATTTTTCTACTTTTAGAGTAGAGAAGAATGAAAGCAAAACTGAAAAAAAATATGTACGTTGTGTTTAACAGCTGTCAGGACTAGCTATTTTAAAAAGTGCTTCGTTACCAAAAAAAAAAACAAGAGGACCAAGTTAATTTCTTAACTGCCAGAAATTATATTGAGCATTGTTATGGATGGAATGTGTCCTCCCAGATTCATATTTTGAAGCCCCAACCTCCAGTGCAGAGTAATTAAGATTAATGAGAGCATAAGAGTGGTACCTGATCCAATAGGATCAGTGTCATCAGTGTCCTTATAAGAAGAGACACCAGAGAGTTCTTGTTTGAAGAAGAAACACCAGAGAGTTGGCGTTCTTTGCCATGTAAGGACACAGCAAGGTCAGTGTCTGTAAGCCAGGAAGAGAGCTCCCAGCAGAAACTGACTCTGCTGTACCTTGGCCTTGGCCTCCAGTCTCCAGAATTGTGAGAAAATGCATTTTTCTCAATTGAGCCATCCAGTCTGTGTGTGGTATTTTGTTATGACAGCCCAGGTAGACTAATAGAAGCATTTTACAGCTTCTGAATCATAGACCTTAGTCAGGCACACAATAGACTGCTGCCACTTCTTTTATACCAAACTATATTGCACTCTTGGTAAATTTCCACACCAGCAGTTATTTCATGGACTTTTGTTATTATCCAAAATAGTGTCTATAAACCCCCAAAGTAATTTACATGCAGGTAGTAAGTGGCTCTAATAAAGTTTTCTTATTATTAGATCACCAACCTCAGTAGTCCAGAGGGAATTCTTATATTTTCTGCAGGTGTATGGCAAAACAGTGCAATTTGATTTGGAACTTCTGTTCTTATCTTGGCAGATCTGGAAGTAATTTTCAGATTTTATGTATCTAAGGGAGATATTAACATTTCTTTTCAATTCCTGTCTAAGGAAAATGGGCTGCTTTATTTTCTTTCATCTCTGAATAAGAAATTTCACTTTTTTTTTTTCATGAGGTGAATCTCTTCATCTGTGTATTCTACTCTTTCTCTGCTTTTCCTTCTCCATAACCTTCAGTTCAGTTCAGTCACTCAGTCGTGTCTGACTCTTTGCGACCCCATGGCCTGCAGCACGTCAGGCCTCCCTGTCCATCACCAACTCCTGGAATTTAGTGAAACTCAAGTCCATTGAGTCAGTGATGCCATCCAACCATCTCATCCTCTGTCTCCCTCTTCTCCTCCTGCCCTCAATCTTTCCCAGCATCAGGGTTTTTTCCAGTGAGTCAGTTCTTCTTATCAGGTGTCCAAAGTACTGGAGTTTCAGCTTCAGCATCAGTCCCTCCAATGAATATTCAGGGTTGATTTCCTTTAGAATTGACTGGTTTGATCTCCTTGCTGTCCAAGGGACTCTCAAGTGTCTTTTTCAGCATAACAACTCAAAAGCATCAATTCTTTGGCACTCAGCCTTCTTTATAGTCCAGCTCTCACATCCGTACATGACTACTGGAAAAACCATAGCTTTGACTATACGGACCTTTGAATACACTGTCTAGATTCGTCATAGCTTTTCTTCCAAGGAGCAAGCATCTTTTAATTTCGTGGCTGCAATCACTGTCCACAGTGATTTTGGAGCCCAAGAAAATAAAATCTGTCCTGTTTTCACTTTCCCTCCATCTATTTGTCATGAAGTGATGGGACCATGATAATAATTTTTTGAATGTTGAGTTTTAAGGATAGAGAAGGATAAAGCCCTGGGTAGCTAGAGGTAGAAACAGATGCAACACTATAAGACATTAGCACAGAAGNGAAGGCTTTCTTATCTCCTTGCTATTCTCTGGAACTCTGCATTCAAATGGGTATATCTTTCTTTTTCTCCTTTGCCTTTCACTTCTCTTCTTTTTTCAGCTATTTGCAAGGCCTCCTCAGACAACCATTTTGCCTTTTTGCATTTCTTTTTCTTGGGGATGGTTTTGGTCACAGCCTCCAGTACAGTGTCAGAAACCTCCGTCCATAGTTCTTCAGGCACTCTGCCTATCAGATCTAATCCCTTGAATCTATTTGTCACTTCCACTATATAATTGTGAGGGATTTGATTTAAGTCATTCCTGAATGGTCAAGTGGTTTTCCCCTCTTTCTTTAATTTAAGTCTGAATTTGGCAATAAGGAGTTCATGATCTGAGCCAGTCAGCTTGCAGTCTTGTTTTTGCTGACTGTATAGAGCTTCTCCATCTTTGACTGCAAAGTATATAATCGGTCTGATTTCGCTATTGACTGGTGATGTCCATGTGTAGAGTCTTCTCTTTTGTTCTTCTCTGTAACCTTTTTCCCCTTTAATTATTTCTTTGTTTTTCTTTTAGTCTCCCATTTTATCATCATCTTTCAGTTAACCTCAAAATGTATTTAGCTTTTTCTTACTTAAGAGAGAACTTACCCTTATGTTTCCTTTCCTTTTGCCAGAGTCAGGCAAAGAACACTTCACCTTTACTGCTTTCACTTAGTTCTAAAATTCTTTTCTAACCTCTTGTCTATTTCAGTCATCTTATAACTAAATTGGCTGTGGATAGTTCCATCGTATTTCATTTTGGTTTACTATGGTTTCCTGTCTGGTGTTTTCTCAAAGGCGAGTTGAAGAGTTTGTGCTTGGCTGGTTTGAGCGTCTGGCCACCTTTATCTGCGTGATGTTGCTGTACAGCCAGGTTTGGGAGCCAGATAGAGGATAAGCCCTTACCGTCGTTTGGAGGCCCCCTGAGATCTGGCGCTCAGTTATCTTCTCAGTCTCACCTTGTCATTTCCTGTTGGGTACACTGTGCTTCACTAACACAAGACTGTTGGCAGTTATATGAATTCCATGTGATTTTATTTTTGGTTTCTTTGTTTTTTCTGTTCCTCCTTCCTCCAATAGCCTTACTTTCTCTGCCAGGCAGTTCTTACTCAGCTCTCAAGATCTGTCGCTTCCTCTGTGAAGCCTTTTATAACGTCTCTAGTAGTCTATAAACTACTTGTAAATTGCGTTTTTCTTTTTATCTAAAAAATCTAGCTTAGTGCCTGACATTTAATAAGTTCCTTAGAAATGTTTGTTTACCCAAAGTGCCTATTACAAATAGTTTTTAAGAACATCAAGCACTGTTNCTTTTTATCTAAAAAATCTAGCTTAGTGCCTGACATTTAATAAGTTCCTTAGAAATGTTTGTTTACCCAAAGTGCCTATTACAAATAGTTTTTAAGAACATCAAGCACTGTTATTAATAATATCTGTATTGCTGAATCCTGTTGGAGAAAATCAGCACAGATTTTACACTCCCCCAATAGAGCCATAGAATCTTCACTGACTATTGTAATAATTGTAAAGTTTATATTTGCTAAATTTAAAATGGAAATAAAAATAAATTTTTCCCCCCAGATTATACTAGGGAGATAGTATAGTGGTGAAAATCATTGGTTTGTGGCCTTTGCAGAATTTTCATCTCAGGTCTAATACTTACTTGGTGAGTTGGCATATGGCCCATTTTCTGTCTCAATTTCATCTATAACATGGGTATAAAAAAACAAAATAAAACATGGGTATAATAATACCTGCCTTCATCTTTTGTTAGCACTGAATGGGTGATATATGTACAGTTGCTTAACACAGTTGCAAGCATATAGGGAGCATTCAGTCCATGGTACCTTATTAAGCTTGGTGGCATTACACTGTTAGTAAATAAAAATCCCATTATTGACTCAAGTAAGACAAATTTTGAATTGTTTTTCCAACACAGGTTTTTCCTGAGTTGAAAATAATGTTGAATATTCCTTGCCTTCTTTATATTCTTCCTCCTGGGTCTTATAATAATGACCAGCTTCCCTGTTTAGGCTTCATCACTTAGTCATTGTGAGTTAAACAGTCTTTACCAAACCTATTCATCTGCTTTCTTTTTCTTATCTATTTTGTATGTATCCAGGACACACTTACTGCATGTGTCATATACCAAATATGGTTCTGGGCATGGAAGCTAGTGCCTCCATGGCAGTGAACAAAACATAAAAATTCCTGCCTTGGAGATTATACACTAATGATGGGAGGCAAATAAATAAGTGAATAAAGAAGTACATTACATAGTATGTTAGAATATAGTATAAAGCGAAGGAAATTAAAGAGGGAAGAATGATGTATAGGAGGTACTCAGGTGATGACGGATGTTACAGTATGTATTAGTTTCCTGTGACTGCTATAACAAATTCCAACAACCTTGGTGAGTTAAAACAACAGAAATTTATTGTCTTGCATTTCTGGAAGTCAGAAGTCTAAAATGAGTAGTATCAGGGCCCAAGTCAATGTATCAGCAGGCCTGCACTCCCTTTGGAGGTTCTAGGATAGAATTCATTCCTTGCCTCTTTAAGGAATGGTGGACTTTTGGTATTCCTTGGCTTATGACTAAGTCATTCCAGTCTTTGCCTTTGTGGCCACATTACTTTCTTCTCTGCCTCTGTCTTACAAGGACACATATGATTGTATTCATATTTAGGGCCCACTCAGATAATCTAGGATAATCTCCCCATTCCAAGATCTGTACTCACATCTGCAAAGTATTTGCCATATAAGGTAACATTCACAGATTCCAGGGACTAGTTCGTGTGCATTTTGTGTGGCAGTGTTCCAGCCTACCACTGTATACATTGTCAGAGTACTCCCCATTAAGAAGATGTGTGAGCGAAGACTTTGATGAAAGTGGAGGAACATGGCATACAGATGACTTGGGTCAGTCAGCAAACACCCTGAGACACATGTCAATTCCTATAGAAAATAACTTTTTTTTCCCTCCTTTTCATTCTATTTATTAAGCCAAGAAAATACCCTATTTACATTTGCACATGTGTATATTGGACATGGTTTCTGACTCAAAAAGTGTAGTCTACTAGAAAATAAATATATGTTATTGAATGTTCTAGTTACTATATTAACATCTCTCTTTACAAAACCTTTTATTGAATACTATACAGAAAGAAATGTGCAGAAGTCATAAGTATAGAACTTGATGTTTTCTCACAAAGCAATCCACGTGTCAACCCCAAATCAGAAAGAGAACAATTCCAGAATGCCCAAACCCTCTCTTTCCCCTCAAGGTTATTACCCTCCTAAAGATAGCTACTCTTCTTACCTCAAATACCACAAATTCATATTTGCCTGGTTTTGAACTTTTTATTAGTGGAATCATCAATATGTATTTGGTTTCTTTTGCTTAATATTATGTTTGAGAGAATTATCTGTGTTGCGTACAGTTTTAGTTTGTTCATCCTCATTGCTCTATGGTATTATATTCAAATATTATAATGTATTCCTTTATTTATGGTCATTTGGATTGTTTTTAGTTTGGAGCTGTAATTTGTGCTACTTTGAACATTCTTGAACCTGTCATTTGTTTAATGTACTGTGCATTTCTGTTTGATCTCTATCTAGGAGTAGAGTTCTAGGTCATAGGGTGGCATTTATTTTTAATGCTAATGTTTAAAGGAAAGGATAGGAAATACTCAGAATAAAGCATTGCTTAAAATATGTATTTCAGAAAAACTGCATTAAACATCATCTTCTTACCCTTGATAAGCATATCATTAAATGTTTAACCCTTTTAATATTAAGACAGAAAAGCAATAAAATAGTAGAGAGACAAAATGGCTTTTCACCAGATATTTGGTATAAAGTAGCAACAGTACAGTGAAAGAAAAGTTAATTATGTCTGTCACATTAATTGCTTTTTGTGCTGCTTTGTTTAAATATGTTTTTCTCTTTTCTCCTTAAATTACAGGAACCAGATGTTAAAAAACTGGAAGAGCGACTGCAGGGTGGCCAAATAGAAGAGGTGATTCTTCAGGTAAAGAAAAAATTGAGCATTCAGATATTTGGCTTCAAGTGTTCAAAGACACAATGTATAGAGGTATAAAACTGACTTTCCAGAAAGAAAGGAAAACTAAAATGTTTAATTTATATCAACTCATCAAATATAAGACTAGTCACATAAGAAAATACATACTTCTGACATATGTCAGTTAAATATTTATTATCATTTTGACTATTGAAGGTTAAATTTTTATAGCACATGTCTTTTTTTTGTATTTCATATTTTGTAAATTATATCTTGAATGTTTTTACTGTGTTTCTCTTTATATTTTCTTTTTGAGTTTTTTTTTTTAACTGTGTTGCATGGCATGAGGGTATCTTAATTCCCCAACCAGGGATCAAACCTGTACCCTGTGCAGTAGAAGCATGAAATTCCAATCACTGGAAGGCCAGGGAAGTACCAGTTTTTTTTTTTTTTTTTTTAAATAAAAGCCTTTAATTTTTGCTAAATTGTCTGCTTTTTTTTTTTAAGTCTGTCTTTGCCTTTTGACTTCAGTTGAATATTTTCTCCCATATGTAGAGATTAAAAATTTTTTTATTTGGTAAAATCACCTTCCCCTTTCTCACCTCCCCTACAATCCCCCCTCCTCCTCAATATTATAGGTTTAGAATGTCTTCCCCTTATAAGAATCTAATAAACATTCAACTATGTTTCATTTAATTTTTTTAAATATTTTTAAAAAGTGTAACCATTTCTTATTTTTTCTTCCTTTTATCAAAGTATATTACCATGATATACAATCATATACAATTGTACAGTGATATACGCGATATACAATGATATACCAATGATACACAAATTCAAAAGAATTGTTGGAGGTCTTTCCTAAAAGAGGAATGGAGCATTCAGATAGCTTTCTATGAATGTAGACTGTTCAGTCACTCAAAGGCCTGTTTTCTTGGCCTTTCTATTCCTTTGCTGGGTGGAATATGGTACTAGATATAGTATTGCAGGAACTTGCTGCAAACTTATTATTTTCCTCCTATTCCTCTTTTATACCTGATTTCACTTGGATCTTGACTTTAGTTTAATTGATACATTAATTTATCATGCAATTAAAGTCTTAGGGTACACTAAGTATTTTTAAGTTAGCTGTGTAATTCTCACATCTTCATGGGTAATATTAAGATCAAATTAATTTTAATAATGTTTTATTTAACCTAAGAGATCTAAAATATTGAAACATATCATCGATATAGAAAGTAAGACACTGAAAAAGTTTTTTGAACACTAAGTGTTTAAAATCTGAGGTGTATTTTATACTCTCAGCACATCTGAATTTGAACTAGCTATATTTTTAGTGTTCTCTCAATAGTCATAGGTAGGAAGTGGCTATGTTATTGGACAGCCCATTTCTGGAGGGCCAGTATGAGAGAAATAAGGAAAGGATAGTGTGTTGGAGGCTGGAGGAGAGGGAGGGTGTGGAGCTACATGTAGCTGAGTTGAGCTCTGTGATCTCAGTGATATTCAAGGATATGGACCCTCCCCAGCCTGGGCTTCCCAGGTGGCTCAGTGGCAAAGAAACCACCTGCCAATGTGGGAAACACAGGTTCAGTCTCTGGCTTGGGAAGGTTCCCTGGAGAAGGAAATGGCAACCCACTCCATATTCTTGCCTAGAAAATTCCATGGACAGAGGAGCGTGGTGGGCCACAGCTCACGGGGTTGCAAAAGAATTGGAGACAACTTCTCTATTAAACAACAACCCTCCCCAGCCTGCTGTCACTTGGGGAAATAGAGAAAGATGAGTGTTCCAGAGAAACAGGCCACAGGGCATTCAGAAAAAGAGCGATCCTTAGAGATATTTTTAATCAGTATTTTCCCAATTTCAGCAATAAATACCTCTGACCCCAGATAACTCTGGAGTTCTATGAAGACCTATAAGACGTTTTAGAACTAACACCCAAAAAAGATGTCCTTTCATCACAGGGGACTAGAATGCAGAAGGAGGAACTCAGGAGATACCTGGAATAACAGACAAATTGGCCTTGGAGTACAAAATGAAGCAGGGCAAAGGTTAGCAGAGTTTTGCCAAGAGAACGCACTGGTCATAGCAAACACCCTCTTCCAACAACACAGGAGAAAACTCTACACATGAACATCACCAGATGGTCAATACTGAGATCAGATTGATTATATTCTTTGCGGCCAAAGATGGAGGAGCTCTATACAGTCAGCAAAAACAAGACTGCAAGCTGACTGTGGCTCAGATCATGAACTCCTATTGCCAAATTCAGACTTAAATTGAAGAAACTGGGGAAAACCCACTAGACCAGGTATGACCTAAATCAAATCCCTCACGATTATACAGTGGAAGTGACAGATAGATTCAAGGGATTAGATCTGATAGGCAGAGTGTCTGAAGAACTATGGATGGAGGTTTCTGACACTGTACAGGAGGCAGTGACCAAAACCATCCCCAAGAAAAAGAAATGCAAAAAGGCAAAATGGTTGTCTGAGGAGGCCTTACAAATAGCTGAGAAAAGAAGAGAAGTGAAGGGCAAAAGAGAAAAGGAAAGAGATACCCATTTGAATGCAGAGTTCCAGAGAATAGCAAGGAGATAAGAAAGCCTTCCTCAGCAATCAATGCAAAAAAATAGAGGAAAACAATAGAATGGTAAAGACGAGATCACTTCAAGAAAATTAGAGATACCAAAGGAACATTTCATGCAAAGATGGGCTCAATAAAGGACAGAAGTGATAGGGACCTAACAGAAGCGGAAGGTATTAAGAAGAGGTGGCAAGAATACACAGAAGAACTGTACAAAAGAGATCTTTCATGACCCAGATAATCACGATGGTGACTAGCTCACACACNGAAAATTCTTCAAGAGATGGGAATACCACACCACCTGACCTGCCTCCTGAGAAATCTGTATTACAGGTCAAGAAGCAATAGTTAGAGCCGGACATGGAACAACAGACTGGTTCCAAATCGGGAAAGGAGTATGTCAAGGCCGTATGTTGTCACCCTGCTTATTTAACTTATATGCAGAGTACATCATGCGAAATGTCGCGCTGGGTGAAGTGTAAGCTGGAATGCAGATTGCCAGGAGAAATATCAACCTCAGATATGCAGATGACACCACTCTTATGGCAGAAAGTGTAGAGGAACTAAAGAGTCTCCTGAACGTGAAAGAGGAGAGTGAAAAAGCTGGCTTAAAACTCAACATTCAAAAAACAAAGATCATTGCATCCAGTCCCATTACTTCATGGCAGATAGAGGGGAAACAATGGAAACAGTGAGAAACTTTATTTTTTGGGGGGGATGGGGCTCCTAAATCACACAGATGGTGACTGCAGTCATGAAATTAAAAAGACACCTGCTCCTTGGAAGAAAAGCTATGACAAACCTAGACAGTATATTAAAAAGCAGAGATATTACCTCGCCGACAAAGGTCCGTCTAGTCAAAGCTATGATATTTCCACCAGTCCTGTATGGATGTGAGAGTTGGACTATAAAGAAAGCTGAGCACTGAAGAATTGATGCTTTTGAACTGTAGTGTTGGGGAAGACTCCTTGGACTCCAGGGAGATTCAACCATCCACCCTAAAGGAAATCAGTCCTGAATATTCATTGAAAGGACTGATGCTGAAGCTGAAACTCCAATACTTTGGCCACCTGATGCGAAGAACTGACTCACTGGAAAAGATAAAGGGAAAAATTGAAGGCAGGAGAAGGGGACGACAGAGGATGAGATGGTTGGATGGTATCACCGACTTGATGGACATGAGTTTGAGTAAACCACAGGAGTTGGTGATGGACAGGGAGGCCTGGCGTGCTGCACTCCCTGGGGTCGCAAAGATTCGGACATGACTGAGCGAGTGAGCTGAACTGATTCTTTAACTCATTGTTTGTATACATTTTAGACTGTTACCACTAAGTGTATTTGCCTCTTCTACATCACTGGCATAGAAACTAAGCACTCGTTCTGTGTTTGAATTCCTTCTCTGATGTTCTGACAAGTGTTCAGCAGTGTTCTTCTAGTTGGCCAGAGTTGTCATAGATCTTTTGCTGTAGAAAATAATGTGAAGCAAAAAGAAAACTAAAATCTATGAGTTAAATATGTTATAAATTGCATTTGAAAGGAAAATAAATGTAACATAATCTGATTAAGGAAACTGATTCGATTGATCAATAAAAATACACCTGTTTTATTCTATTATTATATTCCACAGATCTCTGCTTTACAAATTGTTGGTCTAAAGTGATTATGGATCACGAAACCAATTAGGTAGACTGTGACTAGTTTTTTTTTTTTTTTTACATTCATCAGAAAATTGAGCATGACAGCTAGTAAAGGTAATATTTTTAGATTTGTTTTAGTTATATGTGTATGTCATGGATCCTTTACTCACCAACTAAAATTTGAACACTCTACATGCAAATTGTAGTCAAATAGAAAAATCAAAAGCCATCCTTTCTCAGTCATGATGATGAAGGTAATTTTAAGTATGTTCCACATTTGATGATGAAACAGCGTATTAGGTATTAACATGTACAAAGTAGTTCTAATAGTTATATTTCAGTTATTAGCTATAGTAAATACCTACTAAACAATATAATCAAATGATCTTTTAAAAATCTTTTATTAACAGGCTGAAAACGAACTTAGTCTGGCAAGAAAAATGATCCAGTGGAAACCATGGGAGCCTTTAGTGGAAGAGCCTCCAGCCAGCCAATGGAAATGGCCAATATAAACAGCATTAACTATTTTTTCTGTTGATAGGAGAGTGATGTAATTAAATATTCTGTTATATGTTAAAAAATGTTTCCATATTATTGACATCTTATCATCAAGAAAACTGATACAGAACACATTTAAGCGACTTGTTAAAGTTGATGATTATGGTAATTTGTGAATTCAGTTTTTGATTTGTAGAGCATTCATTCAAATTATTTCAAAGGTAATTTTTTTTTAAAGGTTGTGTTTTAAAACCTGTGTTTTTTTTTAAAAAACAGGTTCCAATTAAATTTTTCCAAAACTTAACTGTAAGAATTCCTATAGATCTTCACTGTAGGGGCCATATTTGAAAGGTGAAGTATTTTTAGTAGTATCTTCAACAGATGATTTAATTTTTTTATTATGGAAAAACAGAAAAGATAATTATTATTGTTGTTGAAACAAATTAATAGGTCACTGTTTAAAGTGAAGTAGTAAGGAAAAAACCATCAAATTAGAATTCATTGTACACTTGGGAAAATTGATTTGGTATTTGAAAGAAAGATTTTCATTTATAGTAGTAGTTGGAAAAACTTTTCCTTTTGTCTCATTTAAGGAAATTAGTTTTCTGGCCCTTAGTCTTTAGTTTTCTTGATAACCAAAGTATAACAGGATAGAGAGAGAATTTCTGTAAAAGAAGAGACACTAAGAATTCCTAAAGTTTATCTGACATACAGATAGGCTTATATTCAAAACATCTTAGTTGTACGCTTATAACTTCAAAGTGGAATCGTTAAGTAGTTTTCACTAATTTTCAGTATAAGTGCAGCTGGGTATCAAACAGAAGATAATTGCTGTTCAAAGAAAGAAGCAGTTTGGTAAGTTTAAGGTTAAACAAAAATAAAATTACTTTTCATTTGTCCTCTTCTTTTTGTTAATAGCCACCTATCATTTCTAAATACTAAAATTTGGTAGTTTTTACCTTCAAAGGTAGTATTTTTATTTTTTTATTTTTTCACCGTTGAAGGCAACTAACATTATTCTGTGATGCTGGTGGGGCCAGGAGTGAGCAGCCTGTCGGCCTCCATGTCTGAGCTGGCTTCCCTGAGGGCTGCCTGGTCCACTTTTGCAAAGTGGGGCACAGGTGGGTCAACAAGAGGTTGACCATCTTCTCTGTGGTCAGCCCAGCTGTGGGCCTGCCTCTCACTTGCTCCAGGCTGCTCCCTCAGGTCCACCTTGGTCTTGTCACCAGATTCTTCCCATAGCAGATTTGGGGACCTAAACTACAAGGGGAAGACTTGTTGGGTTGTCTTCAGATGTTAAGTTCCTTTACCTGATGCTCCAGCAGGCTTTTCAAATGAGCCTTCCCACAAGACCAGCTCTTCTAATGCCTTCTGATAAGCACGTTGGTTTTCCAGAGAGTCTGTGTCCTTTTTCACCAGGTACTCTTCCATAAATTGAAGATCACTTTCTTTATTCTCAAGAAGCCAAAATCTTTAGGTCTTGTAGGACTTAATGTTCTTTAACTGCAGAAGGAGGACTTTAGATCTTGAACCCTTGCCAATTCCCCAGTTATCTATTAATATATCAGACCTCAATCACTGGAACATAGTTGCTAATCTCATGTTTGTTCGTTTTTTTTCTTCTAAGGGAGAAAATCCACAGTGCTCCATAGAAGAAAATTCTCAAATGTAGGCTAATAATCAGCCTTTTCTTTTTCTTCTAGCTTCTATGGTTATATCAACAAATAGAAGTTAAAGAAACCACCTGTGCAAGTGTGTTCTGGGGTCTAGGGTAGAACAGCAAATTATTGAACATACCATGAGTATTTTGCATTTGAGGGCAGAATTTCCTTTGAAGCTCAGTATTCAGTGGTATTACAGCCTAAAATACAATTACAGTAATTTTATGAGACAAAAGTAAATGAGAAGGTAAGAGTTGGTTTAGAGGAGGATGAAGAGGTTTTTAAATAGAAGTCACAAATTGTAGAGGAGTGAAACATGCCATCCCACTAAGTCTCTGGTATGCTGATTATTTTGAGCTGAAAACAAGGCCTAAAGACTCAGGAAGAAATTTTGAAGGAAGCTATCACCATACATAACTGTAATATGAACTAGGTGTTCAGACAGTGAGGAACCTAGCAAAATCTGTTAAAATTCTGCTGTCTTACTCCGCATGGCCTAACAAACATTTACCAAACATTTGTTTTTCTATATACTGGTGAAATGCTGTCCTCCCCACGAAGTCCCAAACCACAGCCTGCAGCAGCATCTTTTGTCTTCAGGTGAAAGTGGTATGCAATCTGAGGGTTTTAGCCGTTTTGGTGAGTTACTTGGGTTTTCCTGGGTCACTCCCATGAATACGTATTATTAAAATATGTCTGATTTTTCTATTGTGTCTTCAGTCAGTTCAATAGCTCAGTTGTGTCTGATTCTTTGCAACCCCATGGACTGCAGCAGGCCAGGATTCCCTGTCCATCACCAACTCCTGGAGCCTGCTCAGACTCATGTCCATCAAGTCAGTGATGCCATCCGACCATCTCATCCTCCGTTGTCCCTTTCTCCTCCTGACTTCAGTCTTTCCTAGCATTAGGGTCTTTNGAAGTGGCTAATAACTTCTAAATAAAAACATACAAATACATTTCTCCAGTCCCCATCAATAATTCAGTTCCTGTATTCCATTCCCACTTTGACTTTGTCAAGGAGGAAGACACTTTCCTCTAGTGTTCTAGGTTCTTCTGACTGGTCTAAGACTTAAAAGTGACATGCCATGGAATGGCAGTACTCAAGAGTCACACAAGGAAACAGGCCGAAAATAAGGACATTTCAACACATCCTTTTTATAAACACAGCGGCAGGGGAACGGGGACATGCAAAGCACGTATAGAAACATGAAATAGCAAAACAAAATTTAAAAAATTTGGAATATACTATAAAGCTCAAATTTAGCTTGCTATGCGCTGCTAATGAGTTTTCCAAGTGGTCTTTCAGCTTACATTAGATGCTCAGTTTTTGTTGTGTACTTACATGAAATGGATTAGCTTCCTTCTATACATTACTAGCTGAAAAGTATCTTAGGGGTTTCTCATAATCTTCAAATATGTTGGTTTCTTTTTCAAGTGAACATGTTAGCCATTTTTAAAGATAAACATTACCATTTTATGATAAGACATTTCATTTAACTTCTTCAGTAAGAAAGGGAGGCTTAATTCATTTTCTTAGGGTAAATTCCCTGTCCATAAACCAAAAATTTTTAAAAATGGAAAGTTTTTTCATAACTCATTTGCAAGTAAAACCTGATTGCATTGATATGAGGCTATTTATGCTCTTTATCCTACTTTAATGTGATAATGAATAATATTTTGCCACAGAAGTATTAATATATTTGATTCTGGAGTATTTCCCCAGACCCACTGAATGTTTGACAAAATATACAGTACATATCCGTGTGTGTGTTAGTCAGTCAGTCATGTCTGATTCTTTGCTACCCTGGGGACTGTAGCCCACCACCAGGCTCCTCTGTCCATGGAATATTTCAGTAGAGAATACTGGAGTGTGTTGCCATTCCCTTCTCCAGAGGATCTTCCCACCCAGGGATCAAGTCTGGGTATCCTGCATGGCAGGCAGATTCTTTTCCATCTGAGCCACCAGGGAAGCCCAGTATATATTCATATTACCATTCAAAACAGAATAGGAAGCGGAACCCCACTCCAGTATTCTTGCCTGGAAAATTCCATTGGCAGAGGAGCCTGGCGGGCTACAGTCCATGGGGCTCCAAAGAGTCCGACACAACTGAGCACACCATTCAGAAATCTGAAAGAACCTAGATTTCAAACACATCTGTCCCTCAAGGTTTCAGAAAAGGGACTATGTATTTCTAGCCTCTTAAGCTCACAAAGGTATTATGATCCAAATTCAGCTCATACAGATAATTTCCAAAGGATAATTTTCAGGTCCTTGGCCTAAATTCTTCTAATGCGTTTTTTCTCTAATTCAATCATTTACATCAAAATGTATTTTAGCCTGACATAACAATGGGAATATTTTGAAATGCTTGATTTCATAAAGCCACTAGATGGCATCTTTGTAAAAATAAAAGAAATTTAAAAGAAATGTTTATTGAATAAATAAAGACTGAGATAAAAGTGGATTCCTATTTCATGAGAAACAGTGGTAAGTTATTTTGGGCAATAAATCCTGAGGAAACTGCATAAACTCATTGTGAAAAGTAAAATGGAAAATGGTATTTTTAATTACCTTTTTCCGTCTCCAGAATTGAGGGTCTTTTTCTGATTGGTTGTTTTCAGCTTATATTTACATTTATTTTGTATGACCAAACAATCATATACTTGTATATGTATGTGTGTATGTGTGTGTATATATATGTACATACAAATATATGTATGTGTATGTGTGTGAGTTTGATGTGCTTTGCGACCTATGTAGACTACCTGGAAAGCCTACCAATTAAGTTAGGCTTATATTGTAAAACTGAGTTGTATAAGATTGCCCCCATAGCAAACTATTAATAAAATATGAACATATAGTCAAGTCACATCTAACATGGTGAAGTACTTAAAGTACTTAAGTTATCTACTGCCAGGTTTGCATTCCCCCTTCTCTTGCCTTTAAAAGCCTAAATCTAATTTTTAATACTGTGCCTAACAAGGAGGGCAGTGAACGATAAATTTTTAACAGAAGACCCAGAAAGATGAGGGTTTAAGGCAAATTAAATCCCATTACTGGTAAAATTTAAGATACATTATGATTTTCAGAGATGGGAGCTGGGCGCATTGGAAGGAACTTGCCTGCATACCTCTAGTCACACCTGACTTACTCGAGAGATACTAACCATAGTGGTTACTGAAATGCCCCTTTCTCTGCACTTCATGAATATGTGGATTTGTGAAGTGATTTAAGTGCAGTTTCTTTTATTTATTAATAAAACCATTAGTAGAGCCAATTTCATCTGGAAATTAATACATATTTTATATTGTTTCAGTGAGATATTTATTTTAAAATGAGACTGAAAAAAATGACATTGAACGTTAGGAAGTTATTGAGAGAAGAATGCAATTTCAACAGAATGGCATAAAGGAATGAAGACATTGAATATTATGAAGGAAGAATGGACCTGTACTATACAAAATACAAATTTTAATTTCATCATGTAATCTTACATCCTTTTTAAATATCAAAGAGTGTTAGGTTAAAGGCAGCATAGAATAGTGGTTTAAAATGGACATTGTGCTGTCAGACTGCTTGGATTTATTTCTGGCTCCCCCACCAAACCTCTCTGGGCCTTAGTTTCCTTTTTTTTCTTAGTTGCCGTGTTAGAAAAAGGAAGCTGATCACAGTTCTTCCTTAATAAAATCTTTGTAAAAATTAAATTAGAAGTATAGGTAAAGTGCTTAGCAACAAATAACACAATAAATGTTAGCTATTATGAAGTGCATGAGGTATTTTTTGCTAAATTTACATTAGAAATAAAATTGATCCTTTCCCTCAATGATATGTGTTTCTTTAAAAACCTATAAATTCAGTTGAAGGACTTTACCATAATAGAAAGTAATTATTTTATAATTCAGTGGTTAACAATAACTTTTCTTCTTCAGACTTAAAAGAGGAATTATTTAATAGCGCCTATCTCCCTTTTCTCTTTGGCTGCCAGGGAAGCAAGAGCCAAGTTCCAAGTTTAACAAAACCAAGTAGGCCCCTGCTGTTGTATAACTGCGTTCTCCTCTGCCTAGGTCTTCACTCTCATTTCATAGTTATATTTCCTCTAACCTTGATTTTTCATAAAGGGCAGATTGATGTCAGTATTTGTTTTGGAGAACCGTGCCATTTCACAAGTATGAAAAGACATCTTAGAGAGTGGTTACTGTCAGAACCACTTTAGTAATCTATGTAACGAGTAGGTAACAAACCCCTTCGCTCCCTCGACCCGCCTCTCCCTCGGCCTCATTCCCTCTCTCCGCCCCTTCTCTCCCTGGCTCCGCCCCTCCTCTCCCTGGCTCCGCCCCTCCTCTCTGTCTTCCTCCACCCCCCCACCCTTCCAGCGCGGGCACTGCCTCTTCTCGCGGGAACTGTGTCCTAGTGGGAGGGGGGTGGTACCAGGGCCGTTGCTAGGAAACGGCCGGTAACAGAATTCGGCGAGTGTGGACTCTGCTTTCTAGGAGCCGGGGGAACAGCTTCCACNAGAATTCGGCGAGTGTGGACTCTGCTTTCTAGGAGCCGGGGGAACAGCTTCCACTGGAGTAACTGCGTTTCTTGGTCAGGTAGGAGGATAGGTTCTGGCTGCCCTCTACTAGCCCGATCCCTAGACCAACTCTGAGTGGGTGGCTAAGGCGCCGGACTCCGAGGGCTCTGTGAGGGGTGCTAAAGCAGCCTGGGCCCTGGGGACTGGCCAGTCCTGAGTGCTCCACCTTTGCCTAAAAAACTGTGCAAAACACCCCATCTTTCTTGGTTCCTTTTCTGGCTCCGGACCTTTACTTTGGGAATGGAAGTAGCAGCAATCTAGGAGGTTACCTCACCTCCAACCCCAAGTGCTTATCATGGTTAATAATAGAGATGCAAGACTTGTGTGCAACTTAGGTTTCGTATTAGAAACCGTTTAGCCATCCTTTGCGGAGAAGGCAATGGCACCCCACTCCTGTACTCTTGCCTGGAAAATCCCATGGATGGAGGAGCTTGGTAGGCTGCGGTCCATAGGGTCGCTAAGAGTCGAACACGACTAAAGTGACTTCACTTTCACACATTGGAGAAGGAAATGGCAACCCACTCCAGTGTTTTTGCCTGGAGAATCCCAGGGACGGGGGAGCCTGGTGGGCTGCCGTCTATGGGGTCACACACAGTCGGACACGACTGAAGCGACTTAGCAGCAGCAGTAGCCATCCTTTGTGGCCGTTTACAGTTTTTAGTAAGTAGAGCGCTTTCAGACTCTCACTTCTCTCCACCTAAGGTCTTTGCTGCACCTCTTAGAAAACTTAAAAACTCAACAAGCCTATTTGGTAGAAGGCAAAGCTGGATCTTTGTCTTACTACTTAAACTTAGGTATATCAACGAAATATACATTGTAGGTGAAAGGGGAGCGTTTTTGTATGCAGAGTATTTTTTCTTTTTAAACAGTTTTTAAAAGACGATAACAGTTATGCTTGAATACATAATAATACACTAAAGAGAAAAGTTCAAACAGTAAAGAGAATGATTCAAAGTTCAAACAGTAAAGAGAATGAACAGTGAAAACCTGTCTTCCACGCATGTTCCCCAACTCCCTGCCCTCCAGTTCACCTTCCAGAGTATTCTAAGCATATACAAATATGTAGTTGTGTCTGTAACATTGTATATAGTAGCATGTGGTTTTGTTGGAAGTCATTGAAAGGACATGACCATCGATTTACTCACTACCCACGTGGTCAATTGGAGACTCTTTCCCCCTCCCGTCCTTGGAATGTACCGTCCCCCATTGTTCCTGAACTAGGGATATGTTATTGAGACCGATGAAACTGTTTATACCATGACTGAACCCAGTTAAGGTCTCATAAACTCTTAGAATTTTGGCGGTGGATGTTGAGATTTACTCTCTTTAGGCTGTCCAAGTCAATCCTCTTCTAAGTTTCCTTGCCACTTAACAGTCTGAAGTGGTCTGCCTCTTTCTTCAGTTATCCTTACTCCCTGTGTACCGGGCTCACTTTCTACTTTACCCAGAGATTTCTAGAGGTTTCAAACCAAGAGCTTTGTTTTTTCCACTTAAGGGAACCATACAGTAAGTAGCCTTTAGAATTGGCTTCTTCATTTAGCATAATTCATTGGAGATTTACCCATGTTTTTGTGTGTGTCAGTGGTTGATTGCTTTTAATTGATGGGTGGTATTCCACTTTATGAATGCATCACAGTATGTTTATTCATTCCCCAGCTAAGGAATGTTTGTGTTGTTTCCTGTCTTTGGTGATGAAAAATAAAATCTTTCATAACTTTTGTGTTGGGGCTTCCTTGATGGCTCTGGGGTAAAGAATCAGCCTCAATGCAGGAGCTGCTGGAGATCAGAGCTCGGCTGATCCTGGGGTGGCTGATCCTCCTCTGGAGGAGGGCATGGCAACCCACTCCAGTATTTTTGCCTGGAGAATCCCATGGGCAGAGGAGCCTGGCAGGCTACAGTCCATGGGGTTGCAAAGAATCAGACATGGCTGAGCACGCCCGCATGTGGAGGTTTTGAGTGATTGTAGTTTTTCATTCCACTTGAGTCAAGGATACAGAATTGCTGGGTCATATGATTAATATGTGTTTAATTTTACAAGAAAGCTGACAGTTACCTCAAATGCTATATCCATTTTCATTTTCACTATCAAGATACAAGAGTTTTCCACTCATATTTATACTCACTGGTTATAGTTGGGCTGAAATTATTCTTGGAATAATTTGGAATCTCATTGTGTTTTGAAGGTTCATTTCTCCACTGACTAATGATATGGAGCATCTTTTCATGTCATTGTCCTCAGGGTCAGGATTAGAGTGAGGAAACTGAGGCAATTAGATTGAAAATTTTAGGTGGCATTTATTCTCAGGCACGAAAATACATATGGGGCAGAGCAGATGCCTCATTTGTCTCGGTCTTGTCCTGGCCCTGCTTAATTGTGTTTTTGTGTATATTCTTTGGTGACGGAGCTGTTTAAATGTTTTACTCATTTTTTTCACTGTTTTTTTTTTTCTTCTTACTATTGAGTTTTGAGAATTCTGTTTTTATTCTGGATCATGCTCGTGGTTAGTCACTTAGTTGTGTCCGACTCTTTGTGACTCCATGAACTGTATCTCCTCTGTCCATTGGATTTCCCAGGCAAGAATCCTAGAGTGGGTAGCCATTCCCTTCTCCAGGGTATCTTCCTGACCCAGGGATCGAACATATGTCTCCTGCACTGCAGGTGGATTCTTTACCATCTGAGCCACAAGGGATGCCTCCATGTATTCTGGATATGAGTCTTTTATGAAATATGAGTTTTGCAAAAAATTACATCGGAGTATATGGTTTGACTTGATTCTTCTAGTTGTCTTTTTTGAATAGCAGAAGTTCTTCATTTGTTATTATTGCCATTTAGAAGATGCCATCTTGGCCATTTTTTTGTAGGGAGAATGACCCACCAGATACAAAGCATTACTTCAGATTCTCCAAAAAGGGCAGATAATTATGTTGCTAGGAGATAAGCCTTCTTTATGCTGCTTTCTTTCTAATCAAAGAATTAAAGTTTGTTATAGGAGGAAAAAAAATCCAAAGGAATATTTTGTGTGTGTGGGTGACAGCCTAAGAGGTTTCTCGAACTTCTTAAAACTTGTTCACCTTTGACTTATTTCATCTTTATCCTCCTTAATTTTCTGGAGTTTTAAAACTTTATTTCAGTTCTTAGATTGGTTCTTGAAATTTAACTATGCATATTTAACAGTATCTAGGATTAAGGCTATCATATCTCAATTTTCAAATTCTCATATCTCAATTTTCAAATTCAGACTGAAATTGAAGAAAGTGGGGAAAACCACTAGACCATTCAGGTATGACCTAAATCAAACCCCTTATAACTATACAGTGGAAGTGAGAAATAGATTTAGAGACTAGATCTGATAGACAGAGCGCCTGAAGAACTATGGATGGACGTTTCTGACACTGTACAGGAAGCAGGAATCAAGACCATCCCCAAGAAAAAGAAATACAAAAAGCAAAATGGCTGTCTGAGGAGGCCTACAAATAGCTGTGAAAAGAAGGGAAGCGAAAAGCAAAGGAGAAAAGGAAAGATATACCCATTAGAATGCAGATTTCCAAATAGCCAGGAGAGAGAAGAAAGCCTTCCTCAGCAATCAAGGCAAAGAATAGAGGAAAACAATAGAATGGGAAAGACTAGAGATCTCTTCAAGAAAATTAGAGATACCACGGGAATATTTCATGCAAAGATGGGCTCAATAAAGGACAGAAATGGCAGGGACCTAACAGAAGCAGAAGATATTAAGAAGAGGTGGCAAGAATACACAGAAGAACTGTACAAAAAAGATCTTCATGACCCAGATAATCTCGATGATGTGATCATTCACCTAGAGCCAGACATCCTGGAATGTCAAGTCAAGTGGGCCTTAGGAAGCATCACTACGAACAAAGCTAGTGGAGGTGATGGAATTCCAGTTGAGCTATTTCAAATCCTGAAAGATGATGCTGTGAAAGTGCTGCACTCAATATGCCAGCAAATTTGGAAAACTCAGCAGTGGCCACAGGACTGGAAAAGGTCAGTTTTCATTCCAATCCCAAAGAAAGGCAATGCCAAAGAATGCTCAAACTACCACACAATTGCACTCATCTCACACGCTAGTAAAGTAATGCTCAAAATTCTCCAAGCCAGGCTTCAGCAATACGTGAACCGTGAACTTCCAGATGTTCAAGCTGGTTTTAGAAAAGGCAGAGGAACCAGAGATCAAATTGCCAACATCCGCTGGATCATCGAAAAAGCAAGAGAGTTCCAGAAAAACATCTATTTCTGCTTTATTGACTATGCCAAAGCCTTTGACTGTGTGGATCACAATAAACTGTGGAAAATTCTGAAAGAGATGGGAATACCAGACCACCTGACCTGCCTCTTGAGAAACCTGTATGCAGGTCAGGAAGCAACAGTTAGAACTGGACATGGAACAACAGACTGGTTCCAAATAGGAAAAGGAGTACGTCAAGGCTGTATATTGTCACCCTGCTTATTTAACTTATATGCAGAGTACATCATGAGAAACGCTGGGCTGGAAGAAGCACAAGCTGGAATCAAGATTGCCGGGAGAAATATCAATAACCTCAGATATGCAGATGACACCACCCTTATGGCAGAAAGTGAAGAGGAACTAAAAAGCCTCTTGATGAAAGTGAAAGAGGAGAGTGAAAAAGTTGGCTTAAAGCTCAACATTCAGAAAACTAAGATCATGGCATCTGGTCCCATCACTTCATGGCAAATAGATGGGGAAACAGTGGAAACAGTGGCTGGCTTTACTTTTTGGGGCTCCAAAATCACTACAGATGGTGATTGCAGCCATGAAATTAAAAGACACATACTCCTTGGAAGGAGTTATGACCAAACTAGACAGCATATTAAAAAGCAGAGACATTGCTTTGCCAGCAAAGGTCCGTCTAGTCAAGCCAAGTTTTTCCAGTGGTCATGTATGGATATGAGAGCTGGACCATAAACAAAGCTGAGTGCCGAAGAATTGATGCTTTTGAACTATGGTGCTGGAGAAGATTCTTGAGAGTCCCTTGGACTGCAAGGAGATCCAACCAGTCCCTCCTAAAGGAGATCAGTCCTCGGTGTTCATTGGTAGGACTGATGTTGAAGCTGAGACTCCAATACTTTGGCTACCTGATGCGAAGAGCGGACTCATTGGAAAAGACCCTGATGTTGGGAGGGATTGAGGGCAGGAAGAGAAGGGGACGACAGAGGATGAGGTGGTTGGATGGCATCACCGACTCAATGGACATGGGTTTGGGTGAACTCTGGGAGTTGGTGATGGACAGGGAGGCCTGGCATACTGTGGTTCATGGAGTCGCAAAGAGTTGGACACGACTGAGTGACTGAACTGAACTGAACTGATCTCAATTTTGTAAATAGTACAAGGGATTGATAATAGTTTATTCCTATCTTTCCCTTCCCAGTTACCTACTATTATTGTCTCATATTTTAATTTTCTGCTGCTTTTGTTTTGTGTTGACAGTATTTACTTGGGTTTGCCCATAGGTTTATGATTTATTTGTTTGCCTTTCCTTCTTGCACTCAGATTTACACTTGGCCCATTTTATTCTTCCTCAAGCGTATCCTTTAAAAGTTCCTTTATGGCAGATATCTTAGTGATAACTTGCTTGTAAATGTTTATGTTATTCTCTTTAAAGGTAGTTTTGCTTGGTGTACAATTCTGGGTTGATAGTTGCCTTCTTTTAATTAGTCCATTATTGCCTTGACTTCTATTTTTCTGATGAGAAATTTGTAATGATCTCATTTTTCTTTCCTTTTCATTAATGCCATGAGATTAATATGACTCAGAAGAGGAGATGATATGTCCTTTATTGCTGTTTGTTTTTCAGATCTTGTCTTTGTTATTCTGTAATTTAGTTATAACATATAACTATATACATATACATGTACATTATATTGCTATAATTTATAGATATGAATTATTTCTATTTATCTTGTTAGGTATATTTTTATATTGTGCTTCCTGGGCCTGTAGATTCATATTTGTAATTGGTTTTAAAAAGTTTTCAGCCGTTAGCTTTTAAAATATTTTCTTTCTTTGTTTTCTTCTAGGACTCCAATTTGCCATATGCCAGATCAGGAGCTGGCAGACTTTTTCTGAAAAGGGCTTCACAGGCTACAGGCATTCCCTGTTTTACACTCTTTTTTGTTTTTTATTTTAATAGTACAAAGCTATTCTTAGCTCAAAGCAAGATGTTAATAAATGCTTAGCAGAAATATATGCTAGACTTTGTTTCTTTTTTCATGGCCCTTAATCTCTTATATTTTTCATATCTTATCTCTTTGCAACATTCTATATAAAATCTTTTCATTTATCTTCCAGTTTACTGATTCTCTCTTCAGCTTTAATGCTGTATTCATTAAATTCAACAAGTATACATTTTTATCCTAGATACTTTTGTTTTTCTAATTTTTCTTTTTTTAAAAATTTTTTCTGCATAAGGATCTACGTTTAAAGTGGAAGTTCCAAACACAGCTTTCCCATCTCACTACCATTTCAAGTTTTAATCTTCCCTGTCCTGCTGCCACGGCAATCAGCCTCAAGTCCACCTTCCCACCCCCTCTTCCTGGCAGTGTCTGTAGGCAGGTTCCTGGCCACCCTGGGTCCTCAGGACTCTGCTCCAGCTCCTGCCTCTGAAGCCTGGCTCTCGGAGGCTGTGGCCCAGCCTGGCCCAACCTTCTGTATACTGTCACACTGACTTCCAAGCCAAAGCCCTTGGTGGCTGAGGTTAAGGCCTTAGTAAGCTCCAAGATCAACCCGCGTTTGTTTGCTGATGTGTGTGTTTTGTGGGCAGAGGTCATTGGACACCTCTGCTGGAGTTTGTGAGAGCAAAGCTTTTATAGAGTGAGTGTGTGTGTGTGTGTGTGTGTGTGTAGTCACTCAGTTGTGTCCAATTCTTTGCGACCCCATGGTCTGTCCATGAAATTCTCTAGGCAAGAATACTGGAATAGGTATCCACCCCTTTCTCCAGGGGCCTTCCCGACCCAGGGATCGAACCCAGGTCTCCCGCACTGCAGGCACATTCTTTACTGCATGAGCTACCGGGGAAGCCCAGTGTATACTTTCCCGGATATAGTTGCTATGGAGATAACAGGTTTCTTGATGCTTCTATTCAANCTTTGCGACCCCATGGTCTGTCCATGAAATTCTCTAGGCAAGAATACTGGAATAGGTATCCACCCCTTTCTCCAGGGGCCTTCCCGACCCAGGGATCGAACCCAGGTCTCCCGCACTGCAGGCACATTCTTTACTGCATGAGCTACCGGGGAAGCCCAGTGTATACTTTCCCGGATATAGTTGCTATGGAGATAACAGGTTTCTTGATGCTTCTATTCAATTGTAATGCAGAAGCATAAATCCTGTGTTAGTTTTGTATTAAAAAAAAAAAAAAGGTTACAGAGACCTCCCTGGTGATCCAGTGGTGGAGACTCTATGCCCCCAGTGCACAGGGCCTGGGTTTGATGCCTGGTCGGGGACCTAGATCCTGCATGCTACAACTAAGAGTTTGAAGGCCACAACTAAAAGATCTCACATGCCACAACTAAGACCCAGTGCTGCCAAATATATAAATAAATATTTTAGAAAAAGTTATTGAAAAAATTTTTCACAAGAAGAATTGATTAGTCCTTGAATAAGAGATGACAGTATATTTTAGAATGTTTTAAAATTATTTTCTTCACAGAAGAGTTCTCTCAAATTTATTGTTTTGTGGCTCTCTTTTTGGTATACATTTTTACTTTGTGACGTTTTAATTAAAAATTCACCACCGTTTTTTACTTAATGCCATTACTAAGAGAATATTTAAATATATAATGAGCCACGTTATAGTATATTCTAAGCATTACTGTATACCAGCAATTAATTTTATATTTGATGTAGAAGTTTTTTGTGTAGTGAATATATTTATTTATTTATTTATTTTTTCAACTCAGGACAATGTCTGACCAGGAGGAAGAAGCTGATTCTCAGAATGCTGTTGACTCATCAAAAGAAGGAGAGGATGCTTTGGTGTCTGTCAATATTCCAGTTCCCTCGGAAGAGGTTCCCGAGTCAGATCAAACTGAAGACTATGAATCTGAACTGGATCTATCTAGTGGAGGCCGTGAAAAACGCACTGAGGAGCTCAGTGACCAGAGCTTTTCAAGCCTGGAACCGAACGATGTCGAGCAACTCATGGACGACGTTAAGATGGCTGAACGAGCTGAAGATGGTGGAGGCTCTCCAACGAAGTCTGGGAGCGCAGTGCAGTCAGCCAGACCATATTCAAAAGCGTCTCTGACATTTTTGGAAAAAGTGAAGGCTGTGAAGGAATCTCTGAGAATAACAACAAAAGATTCTTTAGCAACAGGTATTACCTAGGGAATACAGACAGGGAAGACAGACTTAATTATTTTTTTTGTCTTGATTTTTTTTTTTTTTTTTTGCTTGTCGATTCATTTTATACTTGATATTACTTTCCCACCCCCTTATCCTATTCTGTGGCTGAGCCACATGAATCTTTTAATTTTGTGTGAAGCTTCTCCTCTATGCTGCAGTATTTACTTTCCCTAAATAAAGGAAAATCAATAAATTTTAAGTGATAGTTAATCTGTTTTTCCCAAATAAAATAGATTCTTTTAATGTTTAGGGAGAAATTTTTGAGTATAATTGTAATTCTTCTATGTGCCATTGTGGAATTTGGTCTACATAGCTAGTAACAGGTGGGATGGGAACTTGACACTGTATTTTTCTAGTTTCTTCTACAGTGCTCATTCCATATATCTTGTTGCTCTTATGTATTTCCATATTTCTTAGTGTTAACTTTATATTCAGCCTCACGAAAGTCATTATTGTCTTTCATTATGGATTACTATTAAAGACATAATGTTGATGGCATGGCGTTTAGAAGTTATTACTACATCGCTGGGAGCAAAGCAGAAGGGGAGCAGCAAGAAGGTGGTTACACAGAGAATTGTACTTGGGTGGTAAAACTGACATCTCCTTCTCCTCGTTGTTCATAAGTTTTGAGAAAGTTTCCATCCATAGAGTGGAGAACATGGGCCATCATTTAACAATAACAGCAGCTTAGTCTGGCTGGTAAAATATGGCTTCCAGGGAAGTATTAGCTCTTATGTGGTGTGTCCCTCAAGTAAAGTATATAAAGGAGTAGGAGGAGAAAGTAATCAAGCTCATTTATACCTAATTGAAGCTGTTATCCCCCAATTTCATTATTTGGTGTAAATTTGGGCATCATTTTTTGGTATTTCTTCAGTTATGATTTTAACTTATAACAAACACGTGGTGGTTTAAAGACGTGGTCTTGGTCCTATACTTTCTGAGGTTCACAGATTCCTGAACACAGTTTCCCTTCCCAAAGCTTAGGAAATCACTGCCATGAAAAGTTTAACATATATTAATTGTAGAACTTTGAACCCAGGAAACAGTTAAAATAGCCTTCTAATAATTTAACATCTGTAAGAGTGTTCTTGTTGGGAAAGAGCTGTGAAAATAAGCTTAAAGAACCTTAGCATCAACAATACCTTGTTATATTTCATGCTAGGATTATTGATAAATGTCTCATAGACCTTTATGAAAACTGTCATGTCAAGGCATCTAGAAATATACAAAACTGTTTTGGTTTGAAATGTGTACTCCTCATTCCATCTTACTTATTACATCTTCCCCATTAACATATAAAGTTTGTAGATGTAAAAGTAAACAGTTTACCTCATAATAATTTCAGTACTTTATTTCCTTCCTACAATTTGTGAACAGATAATCATTTTATAGTAACAGTTTTTCTCAATTTTTGACATGTAAGTGTCTTGATTTTTATTTTAGAGTCAGGAGTAAACCACATAATGTCTATTTTTTGTGACAAGTAGATTTGTGCATAGTTATTCCAGATACTTATAATAAACAGTGATTTTCTGTTTTGCATTCTGCCAGCTACAGACATAGATCAATTATGGAAAGAAGAAAGGACTTAGATGATCTTTTGTCATTGCAAGGTCAAAGAAAATTTTCTCTGAAAATTTCCTTATTGGTTTTTCTTAACTTCATGAATATGCATTGATTTCCTGATACCTGTTATCAATATGTAATCAAAGCATGTACATTTCTAAGTTCAGGTCTCAGGTTCTCGCTTTGTAATACCACACAAAAACACTTGATTTTTCTGAGATATTCCCTATGTTGATATCTAAATACTCTCTACCAGATATTGGGAATCTTTAAAATTTTTAAGTGACTTTAAAAGAATCTTTAAAAGCATTTTAGTCTCATTTCCTATTTCTCATGGTATTCTGGGTGAGGAGGTAATCTCGAACATGCACAGATCTCATAGTAGGCAGTGGAAGAGAGAGCTGAACTTGGAGCTGGAGCTGGGGGAGCAGGCATTGACTATTGATGCTATTTCTTGAGATTATGGATTGATTTTCAAAGCAAAAATGTTGCAAATGAATGTTTATCACTTGTTTTCTTAGAAAATGAAAACTAACTCTTATCATGGAGGCATGATGGGAGACGTGGAAGCAACTTGCATTCCTTTGATCACAAATTGTCCCATAATTCTCTATCTGCTTGTATACTATATGATGCTGACCCTTGCATTTAACTTTGACTCTTTCTTTTCTCTTTTTATCTACAGTAAAAGTCATACTTCTTCCTGTGGGCCAGGAAATTGTAATTCCCTTTAAAGTTGACACTGTTCTAAGATGCCTGAAGGATCATTTTTCATCCCTGTTAGGTGTCCCAGCTTTTGTCCTGCAGATAAGATGTGCAGGTAAGCTTTGAGGCTAATAAAACTTATCAAGACTTCTTTAGTCTTAACATGTAAATAAGCAAGATCTTTGATTTGTAAAACTAAATATCTTGATGTTTACTGTTTGAACATTATATTGCTGTTATATACATTCTTTCATTCAACAATTATTACTGAGGACAAAATTCTAAATACTTTGCTAAGAATCAAAGATAGAAAGAAACATGAAATAAAATCCCTATTCTCAAGTTGCTCGTAGACTAGGAAGGAAGAAGACATATGCAGTTGTTACCACACATTGTGTAAATGTTTTAATGGAGATGTGGTCAAAAAAACTGTGAGAACAAGGAGGAAGAAAACTGGGAGATTGTAGAAAGCTTCAGCTAATTAAAGTGAGATACTTGTGTTAAGTTCGAAAGAGGTGAGAAAACCTGGGTCTTTGGGGAAATGGTAAGAAGTTTAGAGGTACTAGAAGTAAATTCTTTATGGAGAGTATGAGGAAATGAGTCTAAAAAAATAAATGATGAATGAGCATGTATAGAAAGAGGAGAGGACTGAAAATGGTTTATCTATCAGTCTTCTGTACATTAAGGTCAATTCAGGTTCTGATGATGTTCAAGTTTATCTATATTTTGTGGGCAATATGGAGTACCACACCTTATATTAATTAGCCTTGTATCATGACAGGCTGTAGTCTTAATAACTGTGATAGAATTAAACAGACTGGCATAGCTCAGTAAATGTTTCTGTAGATTATGCCTACACAGATCATGACATTTTGTTTTTTAAAAGTTTTCGTATTAACTTTACAAAGATGCCACAAAGTTTCTAGGGCAATAATAAGAACATTTTTGGGAGGAAATTCTAAGTGCTAAATAGGAATAAGCCATACCTATTAAGTTTTTCCTCCTTGCTAAATCAGAGAAATTTCAAGATTATTTTTAGAAAACTATTATAATGAATGTGTTCCAATAGTAAGATGTCAGTGTATTCAAACAACTGGTTATTAAAGTTTGACGGAGGAAACAAAGCTAAAATTTAAATAGTTATTGTAACAATGATACAGATGAAGATGATATTGATGATGATGACTAATTTAATGGGCTTTGGATCACACTAAACTGTGGAAAATTCTTCAAGAGATGGGAATACCAGACCACCTGACCTGCCTCTTGAGAAACCTATATGCAGGTCAGGAAGTAACAGTTAGAACTGGACATGGAAAAACAGACTGGTTCCAAATAGGAAAAGGAGTACGTCAAGGCTGTATATTGTCACCCTGCTTATTTAATTTATATGCAGAGTACATCATGAGAAATGCTGGGCTGGAGGAAGCGCAAGCTGGAATCAAGATTGCCAGGAGAAATATCAATAACCTCAGATATGCAGATGACACCACCCTTATGGCAGAAAGTGAAGAAGAACTAAAGAGCCTCTTGATGAAAGTGAAAGAGGAGAGTGAAAAAGTTGGCTTAAAGCTCAACATTCAGAAAACTAAGATCATGGTATCTGGTTCCATCACTTCATGGTAAATGGATGGGGAAACAGTGGAAACAGTGGCTGACTTTATTTTTGTGGGCTCCAGAATCACTGCAGATGGTGATTGCAGCCATGAAATTAAAAGACACGTACTCCTTGGAAGAAGAGTTATGACCAAGCTAGACAGCATATTAAAAAGCAGACACATTACTTTGCCAACAAAGGTCCGTCTGGTCAAGCCTATGGTTTTTCCAGTGATCATGTATGGATGTGAGAGTTGGACTGTGAAGAAAGCTGAGCGCTGAAGAATTGATGTTTTTGAACTGTTGTGTTGGAGAAGACTCTTGAGAGTCCCTTGGACTGCAAGGAGATCCAACCAGTCCATCCTGAAGGAGATCAGTCCTGGCTGTTCATTGGTAGGACTGATGTTGAAGCTGAAACTCCAATACTTTGGCCACCTCATGTGAAGAGCTGACTCATTTGAAAAGACCCTGATGCTGGGAAAGATTGAGGGCAGGAGGAGAAGGGGACGACAGAGGATGAGGTGGTTGGATGGCATCACCGACTCAATGGACATGGGTTTGGGTGAACTCTGGAAGTTGGTGATGGACAAGGAGGCCTGGCATGCTGCATTTCATGGGGTCACAGAGTTGGACCTGACTGAGTGACTGAATTGAACTGAACTGAATTTAATGAGCACTATGTGCTAGTCCTTTTACAAAATGTTCTGTCTACGTTATCACATTATCATTCAACCTACACAACAATCCCTTCAGGTAGATATTACTGTTAACTTTTTGAAGGGAGATGGAAGCTAAAGCTCAAGGAACTTGTGCAAATTCCCACATCTTATGAGTGTGAGAGTCTGAACTTAATTGTAGGCATGATTCCAAAAAGGGAATTTGGAACTGCTTGGCATTCACTATAAGGTAAGGTTCAAAGCTGGAGATGAGAGAGTGTTTTGAGACTGGAGTAGCTGGCCAGTGGTACCTAAGAATCTCTTTCTTTGCATTTCATGACCTTTCATCTTTATGTGTAAGTACTATGCATCACAGGGTTTTCCTGGTGGCTTAGATGGTAAAGAATCTGCCTACAATGCGGGACACCAGGCTTCGATCCCTGGGTTGGGAAAATCCCTTGGAGGAGGTCATGACAACCCACTCCAGTATTCTTTACTGAAGAATCCTCATAGACAGAGCAGTTTTGTGGGCTGCAGTCCATGGGGTTGCAAAGAGTAGGACATGACTGAGTGATTAAGCTCAGCGTAGCACTGGATAACAGACTTATGTCAGCAGCAGTAAAAAAAGAGCTTGATTCTGTGCCAATCATACTCTAAGATAGGTACTTTCTTCTAGTACTAGCACTGAAGTCCAGGTTTGGTGGGGCTAAGCCTATTCTGGAAACAATTAGAAGAATGAAGAAAGCTCTGTATTAGTTTGAAGAAGGTTCTGTATTAGTTTTCTATGGCTGTTGTAACAATTGACAGAAGTATTGGCTTAAAGCAACACATTAATTTCTCTTACAGTTCTGGAGGCCAAATATCCTAAATCAGTTTCACTTGGATAAAGTCAAGGTATTAGCAGTGCTTTTCTCTCTCTGGAGGTTCTGGGGAGAGTCTGTTTCCTTGCCTTTTCCATCTTCTAGAGTTGCCCTTCTTGCATTCTTGAGTTTCCTCATTTTCAAAGCCGGCAGCATAGCATCTTTAAATCTCTCTCTACTTGTCATATCATCATCTTGGGATAATCTACCCTTCATAGATTCTGGGAATTAGTACATGGATATATTTTAGGGCCATTATTCAACCTTTCACAAAATCCCTATAATGTTAATGTTAATGTTTTAAATTAAGAATTTAAGGTGAAATTGAAACTCAAAGATTTTTGAATGTGCTTTCATGAACATAGCTAAAATAGACTAGTGGTATCTGACATATTTCTAAGAATGAGTAAAACAAACCTTTGCTATGTTAAATTCCTAATTGTAATTTAGGATGAACATACATTGGAAAGATTGATATAGATTCTGTCATTCATTATACAAAGCAGCAGCCAGTAACATTGTATGTATTTCTGTGTGCCTTAAAATATAGAAATAAATTTACAGTGACTTTATGAATTAAACCAGTGGATTGAAGATATAAGTTCAAGCAATAAACATAAAAATAAAGTGGTCATGTACCTTTTTTTTCCGCAAGAAACAGGCCTAGCTCCACCTTGGCATGAATTAATTTATATGCATTTCTGATAATAAAACAGAAAGAAAGGGATTCTTTAGACTCTGAGTGTATACTTTTCTGCATTCAAGAGAAGAGTGTATATTAAACTAATCAGGCTTTCCCTGATATGGATATGATCTATGCTTAATGTATAATACATTGTGATTCTTTTTAGAGAATCATTGCTTAGAATATGATTTTGCTCATATTATAGAATATGTTTTTAATTTTTAAATGTTTATGGTTGCATAGTTATTGTATATTTGTATTTCTGATGAGTTGAGAGTTATATTTTTACTTTCCTTTTAATGCTGAATTCTTGGTCAGGAATACCACCTTAATTTTTTCCATTGTGGTTTTCCATGCTAACAATACAGCAAGAGATGGACATCACCAGTATTTTTATTTGGTAACTAAACAATATACATTCATATAGGCACCTTTGATGTTTAACATTCCTTAAAATGAGTACATATAATCATTTCTTTATCATAATATTTTTATAATTTTATCTCATTTTTAGGAACAGTTCTTAAAAATCATGAGACGCTACTACAACATGGAATTAAGCCCCAGGATATTGTGCAAGTGGAAATGTTTTCTTTACAGCAAGATCTATACCCAATCAGAAGAATAGCTAGATCAGCTGCAGCCTCTCAAATCATAACTGTCAGAGTACAAACTGGTTTGTTATTTGATATCTTTTAGATAAAGAATTTTAGAGTCTGTTTGTAGTTGAACTTTCATTTAAACTTGGTTTTATCTCCTCAGGCATTGATCAGTACCAGGAAGTAGCTGTTGAGATGATAAAATCTGATTTTCACAAACCATTTCTTGGTGGATTCAGACATAAAATAACAGGAATAGAATATCACAATGCTGGAACACAAACTGTACCTAAAAAGATTCCTGAAAAACTGAATGCATTTTGTAGGGATACGCAGGTAATATTTTTATTTTTCCATATGGATTTTTGAAGCTGCAGAATCAGCACAGGTTATATTGTGTAGCTCTCTAAAATTATTCTAAGGAATTATATGGTGATTAAAATAATGAAAAATGTTACATTAAATATGTACAAAATATGCTCTTTACTCAATTTATGTGTAGTGTATACTTAATTTTTTTGTTTTTATTTTAGACAGTTTTTCAGAAAGGAAAGCTCCAGCAAACTACAAATACAACGTCCACACAGATGACTAAAATTGGTGTGTATGTATCAAATATTACTGATAAACTGGTAAAACCAGGAAAATACTTTTCAGCAGCAGAATACCATGCCAAGAGATTACAGGCGGTAAGATAACTTATTAAAAGGGAAATACTAAAAAGTAAATTTATAAGCCAATTGTTCTTTGTGTGTCTCTGTATGTATTTCCCTAAGCACACTTGCTTACGGAACTCACATGAGTGTTGTCGTTGTTCAAGAAAAAATTATTCTTAACACTTGTTAAAGTTGGTAAGCAGACAATTCAAAAGGGAATACTACAATGGAGTTTTGAAATAGGGAAGAGAGATTAGGCTCAACTTTGAATGCAGTAAGGCAAAGGGGGCAACTATAGCCAAGGAACAGGGTAGGAGGGGGTCAATGAATGGAAATTACAAAGGGAAAACATCTGGAGTAAGGGGGAATCCTGGCTAAACCAGTCTAACAGCGTTTGTGGTAAAGGCAGGCCATTAGTCGCAAAGAGTCGGACATGATTGAGCGACTTCACTTTCACTTTTCACTTTTATGCATTGGAGAAAGAAATGGCAGCCCACTCCAGTGTTCTTGCCTGGAGAATCCCAGGGATGGGGTCGCACAGAGTCGGACACAACTGAAGTGACTTAGCAGCAGCAGCAGCATCACCTGGAAAGCCCAGTGTGAGTCAAGTTTTATTGCTGCTAAAAAGCAGTCACTGTCTCCAGTCACACCCCAGGATAAGGAACCAGAATCTTAAATGTTCCTAATCCTTCCCTTTTCTTTAGTAAATCCCTTTCCTTTTTATTAGCTTTGTCCTTTCTGTCCCTTGGCTTCAATCTTCTGTCCTTTGGCCTGAACCCTCTGACATTTGAATCACCTATATGGAACTTTCCAAACTAATAGATCAATTGGATATTAAAATCTATTTTATATGATATTAATAAAGTCACTCCATCACTTTTATATTATTATTTACATGATCTGTTTTTCTTTTTTTATCCTTTTGCTTTCAATCTATTTGAGCCTTTGAATCTAGAGTATATTTCTTTTAGAGAGCATATAATTAGATCACGTCTCTTTATCTAGTCTGATAATCTCTGCCTTTTTTTTTTTAATCTCTGCCTTTTGATTGGAATGTTTAATAAATTTATAGTGTGACTATTGATAAGACTGGAGTATATCAGCCATTTTGCTATTTGTTTTCTATATGCTGTGTGGCTCTCTGGTTCCCCTGTTCATTTAGTGCCTTCTTTTATGTTAAATAAGTGTTTTCTAGTACCATCTCAATTCATTTTTTTTAATTAAAACTTTTATTTTCCATACAATGTGTACTTTTTTAAAAAGTGTACAATTCAGTGATTAAAAATTTTTTTTTTACTATGTAAATAGAGTCATGCAACCATTACCACATCAATTTTAGAATATTCTTATCATCCCAGACAGCTTCCCTGGTGACTCAGTGGTAAAGAATCCACCTGCCAATGCAGGAGACGTGACTTTGATCCATGGGTTGGGGACATCCCCAGGAGAAGGAAATGGCAACCCACTCCAGTATTCCCTGGGAAATCCCATGGACAGAAGAGACTGGCAGGCTGTAGTCCATGGGGTTGCAAAAGAGTCAGACACAACTTAGTGACTAAACAACATCATCATCCCAGAAAGAAAGACCACATCTAACAGTAGCCAGACCCTGTTTCCCTCCAGTCCTTTCTGCTTTAGACAACCACTCATATACTCTCTGCCTCTGTTGATTTGCCCATTCTGGATATTTCATATGCATGTAATCATACAATATATAGTCTCTGTGTTGCAAGACATATAGCTCAGATGGTAAAGAATCTGCCTGCAATGCAGGGGACCCGGATTCAATCCTGGGTCAGGAAGATCCTCTGGAGAAGGAAATGGCAATCTACTCCCGTATTCTTGCCATGGATAGAGGAGCCTGGTGGGCTACAGTCCATGGGGTCGCAAAGAGTCAGACATGACTAGCAACTAACACACACACATTGTATATACCCAATTGTATATACCTACTATAGGTAGGTCAATATATTTACATCACATTTTGTTTATCCATTTTTCGATTGATGGACATTTGATTTTTTCCCACCTGTTGGCTATTAGGAATAAAACTGCTATAATCATTCACATAAAAATTTTTATACGGATATGTATTTTCATTTCTCTTGGGTATATGCCTAGGAATGTAACTGCTCGATCAAATGGTAATTCCATGTAACTTTTTGAGGAACTGCCAGACTCTTTTCCAAAGCAGTTTCACCATGTTTATGTCCCACCATCAGTGTGTAAGGATTCTAATTTCTCCATATCCTTATCAACACTTTTGGATTATTGCCATCCTAGTGAGTGTGAAGTGGTATCTCATTGTGGTTTTGATTTGCATACCCTAATGACACTAAATATTTTTCATGTACTTATTAACAACTTGCATATATACTTTTAGGAGAAATGTAAATTCAGATACTTTGCCCAATTTTAATGAAGTTTTTTTTTATTACTGCTTTATTGCTTAAGAATTTTAAAAAATTATTTGCTAAGTGGTTGCTCCAAGTATAATTTAGGCATTAGAATATATATCTCATTTTATAGCAACATACTTCATATTAATACTAACTGAAATTCAATAAAAATGGAAACTTTGCTTCAATAGAACTGTTTATCCCTTCTTTGTGCTATCTGTGCTATCAACATACAAACGTATATTCTTTTTATGTTCTAAGTCCTATAATTCCTTTTATAATTATTGTTTTTATGCAGTTGACTCTTATTTTTTAAGTTTTAAATATATATATTTGTTTAAACATGCCTATTAAATAGGAAAAGCAAATAACAATCACCTACAGGATAATTTCTAATGATTTATCATCAAATTCATTCTTTCTTTTGCCAGTTAAAATCTGCTGTTGAGCATTTTTTTTGTGTTTTCATTTCATTTCAGTTGTTTTACTGTCAAACCCCAAATTTCTACTTGGTTCTTTTTTTTTTTAATTTCTGTGTCTTTATTGATATTCCCTGACAATGTATTTTAAACAAAAATTTATTCATATCTAACTCTAATCCTGAACATAGTCAATACAGTATTTTCCTTCTTTTTTGCAAATGGCATTGCATGCTAAGTTGTGTCTGACTCTTTGCAGCCCTATGAACTGTAGCCTACCAGGCTCCTTTATCCATGGGATTCTCCAGGCAAGAATATTCCTGACCCAGGGGTCAAACCTGCATCTCATGTCTCCTGCGATGGCAGGCGGGTTCTTTACGACTTGCACCACCTGGGAAGCCCTCCAAATGGCATTAATCATTTAAAAAAAAAAAAAAAGCAGAAAATTTCTCACTCAGATTTTTCTTTTTCTTACTTTCCATTGGGAGATAGTTATGCATGGAATTTTAAAGAAGTTTCCTGTACACATAGCATTGTATCATAAACATTTCTCTACCTTTTATTTTTTATTATAAATGACTTAATGGCATTATATTATGCCATAATATAAACAGTGTAATTTAATTACATCCTTTTGTAGGACATGTAGACATGTTTTACTGCTCTGTAAATTGTAGTGTGCATTTAAAAATTACTTAGAGATGTTAGAAGTTGAATTACTAGGAGAAAAATGATGACTTTTTTGAAGTCTTAAGATATTTCCAGTGTTTTTCAGAAATACTGTACCAAATTATATGCCCAGAAACTATTTATAAGAGCCCATTCCATGCTGACTTCATAGTGAAGTGAAGTGAAGTTGCTCAGTCGTGCCCGACTCTCTGCGACCCCATGGACTGTAGTCTGTCACACTCCTCCGTCCATGGGATTTTCCAGGCAAGGGTATTGGAGTACCCTTCATAGTAGCACATAATATTTACAATTTTTTGTCTCCTTATAGATATTACATATATGTTTATATTTTCTCTCAGCCTATCAGTCATACTTACTTTATGATGTCTTTATTGTAAAATTTATTATTAATAATATTCCCTTTTATGGTTTTTGCATTTTATATATTATTGTAGAAGGCTGTATCACCCAATAGTCATACTTATAACTTTGTTTTATTGTGTGTATTTGTGTACATGCAAATTTGTGTATCTATATTTTTAAAAATTGACATCTTTACCCTATTAAACATTTGGGATTTCAGTTAAACATGACATATGGAACAGATGCATTTTATCTGCGTTACCTCCTAGCATCATTTTGCTTCAGTAAAAAGAATTGAAATCAGTGATCTTGCTTTTTGTGTGACAAGAAACCTGGATCTAGACTGCTGTTCTAGCCAATTAGCCCATGACCTTGAGAGATGAGCCTTTCCTGTGTCTGTGGACTCATTGCGGTGAGGGGGACTGCTCACCAGGGGGACTGTGGGACTAACTTTGTAGCTGACTTTATCAGTGCCTGAAGTTATTTCAGCCTGAGTAATTTTTATTTTTTCAGTTGAAACTAATTTTCACAAAAGGAAAATATGGAGCTATTATAGAGTTTTGGGGAGGAGTGATGTTTTGGTGAAATTTAAGTGATACAGTATTTTGATTGTTTTGGTATAAAACAGGGTTGTGTGTAGATGGATCAACATCAGGTCTGGACTGAGACATGGACCAGAGTCCTGTTCCTTTCGTAACAAAGTTAGGAGGGAGATGTTGTTTCTTCTCTGAAGTTCAGCACGTTGGTTGTGAATCAAGGCTGCTTCTCTCTGTCAAAATAATGTAGATCCTCCAGGCAAGAGTGGGATGTTTTATCCGTAGTGATCTAATTTCAGACAGCAAAGTTTGTGATAGATTATGATTTTAGGAAACAAAGTTTCTCAGAATAAGAAAATTACAGTCACTCAAAGAAGGGATTTGTCATGACATTTTATAGCTGCAGACTGTTCTTGGGAGAAATATTACTTCCTATTAACTTTGTAGCTGACTCTACTCATGCCTGGTATTTGAGCTTGACAGATTCCTATTTTCTCAGTCCGAACTAATTATTAATTTTTGGCTGTACACGGCCTGGCTAGTGGCTCTGTGGTGTCATTAGGAACCTGAACTCCTATTACCTTTACATTCCATTAATCTTATTATTGCTTCCCAGGCAGCACAGTGGTAAAAAAATCCACCTGCCAATGTAGGAGATGCAAGAGACATGGGTTTGATCCCTGGGTTGGGAAGGTCCTCTGGAGTAGGAAATGGCAACCCATTCCAGTATTCTTGCCTGGAAGATTCCACGGACAGAGGAGCTTGGTGGCCCCAGTCCATGGGGTCACAAAGAGACACAATGGAGTGCATGCGCTTGTGCACGCGTGCACACACACACACACCCCTTATTATCATGAGCTTGTTACTATTGTGATGATAAAATGGTTTATCAATAAAAAAAAGGTTTATCACCCTTCAGCATAATGTCTGCATCTGCAAGAAGAAGGAAAAAGTCATGGAGCATGTCTCATGGAGGCCATTTAGCAATTTCCCCTGAAAGCCAGTGATTCAAGTTACAGCTCATTGGCCTGAACTGGGTCATGTGACCTTCCATGTTGGGAGTATGTGATAATTACGTTTTTAAAGATTTATGTTGTTGCTCCTGAGTAAGATTGAAGTTTATATGGAAATAGGAGGGAAAAGTTGTTAGGTTTTCACTACAACACTTTTCAGACTCCGATAAAGTGATATTAAAGGAATAAGAAAATTATAAACATACAGGAACAAAGAATATATGAGAAGAGAGAACAGTAAATGTCAGTCGATTTTTTAAAGTTATAAAGCAGATGGAGAAGTGTTAACTTGACTTACTTGAGCAGAGAAAGTGAAAATCTAAATGCCTGCCAAGGGGGATAGCATAAAAAACCAAATTAGTTTGCCCCATAGAATCTTGAAAGTGAATTGGAGTTTCTGTGGAAGACAGAAGTGAGATGTGAGCTGTAGGCAGAGGGATTGGTTAAAAGACAGTATAAGGAGTAAATTTCCATTTAATAAATTCTTCTATCTTGATTGGTTCCTTTCTATTTTTTGTCATGTTTATTTTATTCTTGAACTTCTAATACTAAGCTCAATGCTTAGTATTTATTTTAAATCTTTCTTGTTGTGAATAAAATTATATTATGTGTGACTACTGATATTTTCCTAGTCATTCCTTCCATTCATATAATTTTGCTTTTTATTTATTTATACTTGTTTGTTTATTGCCTTTTTTGATTTGATTTAGTGACTTAGTTTACTAAGTTTTTTGATTTGACTAAGCTTTTCATTTTTTTGTTCTTTCATAGTTTAGAAGTAGGTACTGTGTTTCTACTGTTTTAGTGGCTACTCATAAAATTTTTTAATGCACTTAAATTTTTTATGAAAAGTGGAAGTGTCATTTGCTCAGTCATGTCCAACTCTGTGACCCCATGAACCATAGACCGCCTGGGTCCTCTGTCCATGGAATTCTCCAGGCAAGAATACTGGAGTGGGTAGCCATTCCCTTCTCCAGGTGATCTTCCCAACACAGGATCTAAGAATTCGCCTGTGATGCAGGAGACACAGGTTTGATACCTGGGTTAGGAAGAACCCCCAGAAAAGGAAATGGCAACCCATTCCAGTATTCTTGCCTGAAGAATTCCATGGACAGACGAGCTTGGCAGGCTACAGTCCATGGGGTTGCAAAGAGTTGGAAATAACTGAACAACTGAGCATGAAGTAATCTTATTGCGATGTGATTTTGATCTGGTGATGGTTCCTTTCTGTCTGAGAGTTTGTGTCTTTCTTTAGTTTGGTGAAATGTTCTTCTATTATATTTTGAGCTATTTCTCTAATCCAACTTTCTTCATTCTGTCTGAAACTTGTATCAGACATATTTTGGAATGTCTACATTTATCTTCCATGTTTCTCAATTTTCCTCCATTCTTTCTAATTTTTATGATCTTTCACCCTGTGTTCTAAAAGATTTTCTTGCCTAAATTTCTTGTTTACTGATTCCCTCTTAGACTCCACATATTCTGCAGATGAGCAGAATAAACTACTATTAATAGTTATTGGCTGATACTCATTCTTCTCACTGTAGTAAATCTTTAGCTGGGCATGAGACTACAGCAGGCTTCCCACCTGTTGTGGGAAAGTGATAAAGAACCCACCTGCCAGTGTAGGAGACACAGGATACGCGGGTTCAGTTGCTGGGTTGGGAAGATCCCCTGGAGAAGGGAATGGCTATCCGCTCCAGTATTCTTGCCTGGAGAATCCCATGGACAGAGGAACCTGGCAGGCTGTAGTCCATGGGGTCACAAAGAATTGGCTACAACTGAGCACAGCACAGCACAGAAGAGGCTATAACATTGAAAACTACATTTTACAACCTCTTTTCTATGTTGGTGAGGCCTGGGGGAAGAAATGGGAGCAGAAATGATGTGTGCCCCTTCTGGATACTGCTCTTGAAGTGATTGGGTTGCAGTTCTTTTGTCTTTTTCCCCTTTCGACAGGCGAGAAGATGATGATAAGTTGACTAACCCCTGAGATATACAAGGAGGACACCACCTGTAATATTAACACAGAGTTTCCTACTAGCCCTAAACCGTTTGCCAATCCAGACCCAATCCCTAGATTATCACATGAGAAGGGAAAAACTGTTGTTTAAACAACTGGGTCTTAGTATTTTTAATAAGTTCAATAAGTTTAATAGCCCCCAAGCTAAACCCACTATACTGATTTTTTTTTTTTTATAATTTCAAAAAGTAATCTTTGGTCACAGTCTTTTGTTGCTTCTTTTGTGTTGATTCAATGGCCTTTCCTTTCCCTCTGAAAATGTTAACTCTCTCTAGTCTGGTCTTGTTTTTTGTTTCATTTTACTCTCTAAGAATGGTTCTAAACCTTTGGCAGGCATCAGAGCATCTGGAAAATGTGTGAATATACAGAATCCATGCCTATCCCAGAGTTTCCAATTCAGTAACTCTGGGGTGGGACCTGAGAATTTTCATTTCTACCAATTTTCCAGTTGCTGCTGCTGCTGGTACTCTAGCCACCATACTTTGAGAACCTTTGTTTTAGTGATTCTCTTGCACACAAATGTAATTACTTCTTATTTTGTCGGTTCCTCTCAAATCTTTGTCTATTCTTAGAGGTGTACTCCAGAGTATTTGAAATTCCTGATGCCCTGTGTGTTATAGCATATTTCTTTACTGTAGCCTAACTAACCCCAGTGGCTTTAGGGGATGGGCAAGGCTTAATTCTGGAAGGCATCTAGTTTTCTGGAGAGGAGGCTTGTATTCATTCTGGGTGTCACCAGCCTTCTGGGACACTAAGCACTCTTGTGTGTGCTAGTCACTTGGTCGTGTTCAACTCTTCACAACCCCATGGACTGTAGCCCACCAGGCTCCTCTGTCCATGGGATTCTCCAGGCAAGAATACTGGAGTGGATAGCCATTCCCTTCACCTGGTGATTTTCCAGGCTCAGGGATCAAACTCACGTCTCCTGCATTGCAGGTAGATTCTTTACCATCTGAGCCACCAGGGAAGGCCACTCTTACCTTAGATACTTAGGTACTAGGTACTTGGAGGCAAATACCTCTGGTGATCTTTATCGGAGTTGCTTTAGAGGAGCCTGTCTCTTTTGCATTTATTAAGCAGTCATCTTTTTAGTTGCCTTAAGGCCCCTTCTGCTCACAGGATCCACCAATTCTGGGATTGAAACATCTTAGAGACACTTCTGTGTTGTCTAGCTTACCTCTCCGGTACATAATTAGGCTGTGGATTCCTTCAGTGTTTTCTCTCCGTGGGGGATTTTTCAGTACAGATTGGAAATCCTGCTAGAAAAATTCTTAAAGAGCCGTAACACTAATTCCTTCTTCAATTTATTCTGCTTGTCTCCTTTCTTAAAGGGATTTTTTCACAGTTTCTGTTCTATTGGAAGATACCTCCAGTGTCTTTACTGATTTCTGCTTCTATAATTTTTCTGTAGTGATTAGGGACTAGGATGAGGGGAAAGGATGTGTCAGCCTATTCTCTACCCTCAATCTTGATCTAGCCTCTCTATATTTTACTTTTTAAAAATGAGTTTAATAAATAAAAAACAAAAACTCTCTCACTTATGTCACAAGCTTTTTTAGACTCTAGTACTATGCTGTATCTCCAGACATATATATTTTTCTCACAATTTAATAAATTCATGTTTGCTTTGGTGATTTCCACGTGTAACTTATGTGCTGTGTGGCTGTGTGCTAAGTCACTTCAGTCGTGTCTAACTCTTTGCAACCGCATGGACTGTAGCTCGCCAGGCTCCTCTGTCCATGGGATTCTCCAGGCAAGAATACTGGAGTGAGTTGTCCTGCCCTCCCCAGGGGATCATCCTGACCCAGGGATCGAACGCGTGTCTCTCATGTCTCCTGTATTGACAGGTGGTTTCTTTACCACTAGCGCCGCCTGGGAAGCCCTGCTATGTGGTGGTTGTTCAGTTACTCAGTCATGTCTGACTCTTTGTGACCCCATGGACTGCAGCACACCAGGCCTTCCTGTCCTCCACCATCTCCCAGATCTTGCTCAAACTCATGTCCATTGAGTTGGTGATGCCATCCAATGATCTTGTCCTCTGTCATCCCTTTTTCCTCCTGCCTTCAATCTTTCCCAGCATCAGGGTCTTTTCCAACAAGTCACTTCTTTGCATCAGGTGGACAAAGTATTGGAGCGTCAGCTTCAGCATCAGTCCTTCCAATGAAGATTCAGGATTGATTTCCTTTAGGATTGCACCATTTTTAAAAGATATGAGCCTAAGCTAATGACAAGAAAAACTGGAGATAAATTAATATTCATAGCAAAGTAGTATTTATAGAGGACCTGTGGTGTACCTGTCTTGAGCTAAGCACTTATATGCATAATACTGTTATTATCACTCTTGCAGATGAGGGTACTAAATCACAGAGATGGCAGCTAACTTACCAAAAATTAACTAACTAGTGAGTAGTAGGAAGAGGGAAGATTTAAACTAATTTTTATTCCAGAATCTGTGCTCTTAACATCATACTAACTGTCTCCTATGAACGTATACCTGCTACCAGATTTCAAAGTCAGATAGCTGTTGTATTTCTGTTAGAATGTTTGTGAGAATTTATGGCATAGAGCTAAAGCTGGACACTCAGTATTTTTTAGTAGCTGTTGAATTACAATAGAAATAATCATTGTTTCTTTTCCTTGTCTCATAAGGTTGACCATATTTTATTTTATTTAACTATTGATTATAAATATTAATATATATGTGAGTATACACATACATAGGGCTTCCTAGGTGGCACTAACAGTAAAGAGACTAGCTGCAATGAAGGAGGCGTAAGAGACACGGGTTTGATTCCTGGGATGTGAAGAAGTCTTGGAGGAGGGCATGACAACCCACTCCAGTATCCTTGCCTGGAGAATCCCATGGACCGAGGAACCTGGCGGGGTAACAGTCCATAAGGTCACAGAGAGTCGGACACAACTGAAGCAACTCAGCACACACATACACACACACATATGTATTCTCTGCACGTTGGATTTTTATGGCTTATTTCTTCCACAGGATGTGTGCTAGTCACTGACACACTTAAAAAGCCTGTTATTTGTACAAGCCAATCACTCCCTACTTTGGGCAGGATACACTATTTTTCTTGAAGCCTTTTCTCAGTGCCCAGCTTCTAATCTCATCTTAAATGTCACCTACTCAAAGGCTTCTGTGACAGACAATACAGCTTGGATATCCAAATTATCATATCATGGTTCTCACTGCACCCCAAATTTTGCTTTGTAATACCACAGTTTGTAACTATATTTTGTAATGTTAATTTTTACCACTGGATTGTCAGCTCCATAAGCAAATGACTCATTTATTTTTTGGATGATCTCTTTTTTTGTACTTACCTCAACAAATATTGGTAGAATGATTAAATGAATGAATGAGGGGGAACCCAAGGATGTAGCAATTCAACTCTCTCTAGCTTCTGCTTTCCCAGGAGTACCTCTAAAGTGGAAGTAACCAGAGAGTTATTTATTACCTTAGATACGGGCAAGTAAAGTTGTGCTCTTGGGATAACAGTTAAGAATTAAAAAAATTAAAAATAGCCACAGTTTTTTATTTTTAGTTGGACACAACCTTTTTATCCAAAGAAATAATCGTCTTTGACATCTCTGTAATTACTCATAATACTAACTTCAAGCAGATTTTCTTACTGTCACTTTTTTTCTTTATATACTGTGTGTTTGTGGATGTTATTATGTGTCCTGTTACTCATGTTGTCCTTTCCTTTCTAATCGAATACAATTTTAGGTGTCAGATA